GACTGGGGAGAGGGAAGTCAGGGCCCCCCTGCTTAGGCTACTGCCCCCGCGACCCGACTCTGGATAAGCGGCCAAAAATGGATGTTAATTTCATTTTACTCTGAATTCACATCCATCCCAGTATAAATATGTCTACACAGTCTTCTAATGGAAACCTCTTAACACTAATTAAGACTAACCCTTATTCACATCCACCCTCATTGGCAAAGGGAGTTGGGGGAGTTTTACAGGTCATTAGCAAAAATAACATTTTTTTTTAATTAAACTTCTACATGGACCCAAACACACACGTGTAGTTCTGCTGCACTGATACGGTACTATTAATGAATTCCTGGAAATGTTCTCCAGGAGAGGCCTGCAGTCCTGCAGCGTAGCAGGCATCAGGTGCATGAAGCTGTGAATAAAACACTGATGCTTCTCCAGGAGGGAAACAACACAGCAGCATCCTCTCAAACATGATCCACTCTGTCTCCGGCTCATTCAGCATTCAGCCTTCTTGTACTGTGTACTACACACATAGTGCTTGTTTTTCGACATTTGAACTGTTTAAATTGCACTTCTGCCTGAAACAAAAATGCAATATAGTATTGATGAGCAATCTAGATGTGCAGTGGTGGTGCTAGCATGAGCGGTACCCTGAGCAGATGCTTTTGCACCTATCTGACCTCCTCACCACCGCCAATGAAATGCAACACACCTTTTATACATTCAGTACAATGCAGTTCAGACAAATAAATGCTGTGGAACAAGTTGAAAAGGTAAAAAAATAATAAAATTGAGAATAAAAACAGAAGGGAAAAGTACAGTTCTCATTTAGGCTGAGGAAACACTACAAATTATGATACAAGTGAAAGCTGTGCTTGTAAAAACTACAAAACCTGTGCAAGATATAAAAACTATGCAAGTAAAACCTGCAACAAATAAACCCAGTTAGAAACAGTGATGTTAATATTAATATAGAGGAAATCCACCATAATTTACATTTATGTTATGTCTTGCAAAGATCGCTTCAGTTCTGTATATCACGACTGTTGATCACGACCACAAAGCTACAGACAGGTTGGGCCTCACCGGCAAGAAAACACAGATGCTGGTCCTACATTCACACACAGGAGGTCTTTATTATTAAAAACCCTACATCAGTACATGCTCACATGCTACACAGCTTTTTGTTTGGAAACGTTGAAATGTAGATCGGCCAGTAAATTGGCCACGCTTTCCACCACAACAGACTCGTACAATGCCCGCATCACTGCAGACGCTGCACCAATCTGCTTGTCGATTCCGTGCTCCATCTTTCTATCATTTGTGAACAAGACCCCGAGATATTTAATCTCCTCCACTTGGGGCAGGACCTAATCTCTGACCCAAAGAAGGCATTCTACACTTTTACCCTTTAATGAGCTGTCGAGGAATATTGGCCTGATCCCGGAGCTCAGAGATGTTTTGCACTGCGCTGTGAATTCACAGACTCACATAATTGTCGAGATGAATCGTAAGCTTGGGACTTTGGCGGAGATTCATTCATTGGCACAAAAGATGGATGCCATCAAAGAGAGAGTGGACGAATCGGCACGGATTGGTATAATTTAATGTCCATTATTGGGATTTTGAGAGGTTGAGGACCAACAAACTGTAAGACAGAGATGAAATTATCTCTGTCTGGCCCCAAAACAATTTCTAATAAGAATCTGGCGTCCTTGAGCCTGCAAGGCTCCAACAACAACTCCCCCCTCTGAAGAAATGTGGAATGTGCCGTCGCTATGGCAACTCAACTTTGTCTCCTTTCCCAGCCTGGGCGGGACTGCGGGAAGGCCGCTGAAACGTTCCAGGGTCATTTCAACCCTCCAACCCTCAATGCTCCTCCCCCTATCCACAATGAGGTGACATGCGCTGCTTATCATGGCTGCAGGAACTGAAGTACGGAGAGTCCCAACCCACCACCCCACCTAGTGGACTCTTATGTTGTGTAATGTCTGAAGTCTGTTGCGTATCTGTTTTTTTGCAGAGCAGAGTTACCCTCCACTGAAGTGGCTTTTTTCCCTTCACCTGAACCAATCCTCATGTAACCCCTCTTATCTCTATTAAGGTAGCGCAACTCAGGGTCGCGAATGACCACAGTCACCAAGTCTTGCCATGTGTCTTGCCCATGTATGTCTGATCTCTGAATTGTGTGTACTGAAACTCTAATTTCCCTCTGGGATTAATAATGTATCTTTGATTGATTGATTGATTGATTGACTGGTTGATTGGCTGATTGATTGATTGGTTGGTTGGTTGGTTGGTTGATTGATTGACTGATTGAGATTGATTGATTGATTGATTGATTGATTGATTGATTGATTGATTGATTGATTGATTGATTGATTGATTGATTATGACTCAAGGCCATGGTCTCAGATTTAGAGGAGCTGATTCTCATACCAGCTGCTTCCCACTCAGCTGCGAACCGCCCCAGCGAAAGCCGGATTTGATGAAGCCAACAGGACCACATCATCTGCAAAATCAGAGACCTGATCCACAGGATGAAGATCACCATTTAAAATCCAGTCAATATGTGACTTCATACCAAAGAGGTGAAACGTTGTGTTCTTCCACATATTAAAGGAGGGTATTCACTACATTGACTCGAGATGCAAATATTGAAGAAGAACCTTGTTAGGCGCACAAATAACTTCATCTTTGTGTTAGGCACACTAAGATGCTGCTGGTTTATGTTCAGCTTCCATGTTGATCAGAAGAAACGTTGTTAGTCCATGTCTGCCTTTTGGTTTAAGATGCTGTTTTAGGTCCTCATGGTTTATAAAAAGTAGTTTTTCTCTATTGTTACGATGCACTGCAGGCCACCGATATGAAGTTAAAATAGACGAGACAGGTATGATATAACAGCAGGTCCAGGAGGGAAATCAATAAGACTTAGAGCGTTCAACAGCAAGAAACAGAGGGCCTTCGTGTCGATATGTATTGTAAAGAAACAATGTACCAGAAAAAGGTTTTGGTCTGAGTTGCACACGCTGGATGCTCACCTCATTTTATCTCTCATTCCTGGCTCCTGTAGTTATGTTGACGTTCACTCCTGCAAAATAACTGGAAAACAAATGATAAAGCTTTAGTGTTCACATTGTAAAATGGAACCAGAATTGTTTGTCTTATCAGTACAAACTACTTATGTGTTTTTCTTGAAGCTGAAAACAAACAAACAAACAAAAAAAGCTCTTCAGACTGATGAAGCCTATGACGCAAGAATCAGGAAGTTGTTTAAAATAGACGCCACAAAGAAAGAGTCCATCTCTCGCTGCTGTAGCTGCATCTTGAAGTAATCTTCTGGCATTTTCTCCCTTCGGCCACAGATTCAACTTCAAAAAGAAGAATAAGGAAAATATATTGTTTTGTTGTTTTCTGGGCTTTAATTTCCATTAAACTTCAGACTGAGCCGGATGTAGGAAGCAGTGGTGTTGACATTAGAGCTCTGCAGGGTCCTTGTCCCACGCTGAGCCTCAAACACAAAACCCAGAGCGGCGATGTTGTCAGCTGTGATTACGTTTCCACCGCGCCGGACACGGCTTACAGGGAGGATGGAGCAGACACTCAGATGCAACTGTCTCACAGGAAAACACTAACAACAACAAAAAAAGAACTTTACATGCATGCATCTGTGGGAGCAACCTCTCAAGGACAGCCACACATTAGAAACAGATTTAGGATTAATAAAGTTGCCATGGTTATGGTCAAAAATCAACATTCCCCACGCTGCTTCAGCCAGAAACCTGCCACTCCACTTTGGTTCTGATTCTGCTGATGATGCGTGTTAACGAGCAGCTCCTCATTAGGCTGAGATGATATATTATGGTCTGGGCTGTGTGTCTTTAGGGCATTGTTGCTGAGGTAAAGAGCTCACCATGCCTCTTCTTTGACTCACTCCAAATCTTTGGTTTTATGACAGTTGGGGGGTGAAGGTGAACAAAGCTGGAAAAAAAATGTGTTTTATAATTTAGTAATTCTTTTCTAAATAACATTACAAAGTCCTGAGTTATCCACCATTTTCATTCAAAGCACCCAAACTCACCTGGCTCAATAGTTCTCACTCATCTTCAATCAGGTACCTGACGATTTTCAGATGAGGATGTGGTTGTGACCCATGGATCATTCAGGCATAAACAAACCTGGCAAAACTCAAGGGATGAGCCTGAGGTGTTGACACTGAAGAAAACACACCAAAATCTATTTTCACTGGATCTTTAGGCGCTTTACTATAAAACCGTCTCAATCTGTTCCCATTTTATTTATCTATGACAATTTTTAAACATGTCACAGTTGGACACATAACATAATACTTTAGCACCAATGATGGGATATATAATTAGCTGAAAACTATAAATACAAATATAAATAACTATGTATAAGCCTCAATTTACTATGTATAAGGATCAATTTCCAATACGATGAATTGTTCTGGATCACTTTTCATCAAGCATAAATCAAGTTGATAGAAATTATCTTCATGAACAGGTGAATAAACCACCTGATAACTCGTTGAGAGGCACACATTCCCATGTGTGCCAAATAAACGCAGAAACCGTGATACATTAAAAGATAAAAACTCCAATTTTCTTATGTGGAAAGATGCTCAGCCTTTTGTCTGGTGTTAGGTCTACACAACTGTGGACTTATCACACACATACACCCACAAATGCACACACAGACACACTGTGAGTAAAAACATACATAAAAGGTCTTCCTAACAGGAATAGTTTGTGCCACCTGACAGTCACATGAGGTGATCCCTCAGTACGAAGCAGCAGCTCTGAACAGGACTGATGTTTCTCCTCCTCAGCTGGTGTCACAGCCAGGGGACTTGTGTTTACTGCATGACGTCAAACACACACACACACACACACACACACACACACACGCACACACACACACACACGCACGCACACACACACACACAGAGCAGAAATGTTCTCCTCTGCTGAGATGCCTCTGACTTTTTCCTCCAGGTACGTGGGTAACATTTGGAGGACAGATAACAGATGAGGTAAGAGGAATTTCCCCTCAGCTCAACAATGTTTATTTCTCTGAAAGCATCTAACTGTATTCTTCTGATGACTGAAATCACTCATATCACACAGAAAACACACACACATGCATGCACACACACACACACACACGCACGCACGCACGCACGCACGCACGCATGCACGCACACACACACACACCTAAAACCATTAGGCTGAAGCTCCTGCAGCAGCTCACTTTGTTTCAACTGAAGTTGGTGTCCTCAGCTCATCCTGAAGCTTAGATGTTGAATACTTTTTTTTTTTTAAATAAAAGTGTTCCCAATGACTAAAAGTTTAGGATCATTTGGACATTTCTTTGTTTTCCATGGAAACACGCATGAAATTAAATGTTATTAGGACAAGAAGTCAAGTTTGTAATTGAAATGATTCATATTTAATTTGAATTCTAACTTAAAGGCCAAGTTCACTCAGAAGGCATTTTTTATTTGCTATTTTTGAAATACGATCGGTCACTCTGAGTTCAACGTGCAGGCTCCACCTCTATCTTCTGCATTAGCAGATAGAAAATAGACGGGGAGATGCTCGGATTAGAAAAGCCTGTGAAAATTGCACCTCATAATGTTAAATCAGCATTTATGGGCTCACTCATCTTAGCTCACAACGGGGAAGGCTGTTGTTGGTCTAGCATCAGAGCAGAGCACGTCTTGGCTAGTAGAAGCTAACCGTTAGCATTAGCAACTCCACAACATGGCCAAACTCTTTCAGGCTTAGTTATTTGTGAAGATAAAACATCATCAAACAGAGTCAGTGGTAGAGTCATGGTGCTGTTAGTCAATCAGAGGCAAGATGTCAGAATACCAGGAAACACACCACATCCTTCCATCTTCTGCTCTCCTCTCCACCGGCTAACTTCTACTTCCTGAAACAGGAGCGCCAGAACTTTTTCCCCACAGAGATCGACTCACAAGGCATTCGTTTGTAGAGACCACAGCAAATGTGTTGAAAAAAATGAGTGAACTTGGTCTGTAACCCTCCCACTGTCTTCATGGGTGACCCTGCGAGGAAGGTTGACCAATGAGCAGGGTTGGTGGTTTATCCCTTGAGGTCCACATGGCATGGGTGAGGAGTGAGCACTACCTCACCCCTGCCATGTGGACCTCAAGGGATAAACCACCAACCCTGCTCATTGGTCAACCTTCCTCGCAGGGTCACCCATGAAGACAGTGGGATGATTAAGAAATCAAAAGTCTTTAGGGTCGGATTTAAGCTGATATATAATCTTCAACCTTTCTAACCTTCTGAGAGATAGAGGACATGTGTGGACATTAGGTCTCCTCCATGCTTTTGTTGATCAACATTATTATGTTGGCTTTTTGTACGAGGCACAAACACGTGTGAACACAGAGCCGCTTATATGGCGCAAACAGAAAGCTTTTATTCTTCTTACCTTGGCGGTTAAAGCTTTCATAGATGCTTAGCGCCCATTTTCAATTTGTTTCTCTGAAAGTCCCCAAGGCCAGCACCAAAGTCACCTCAAACACTTTGATTAATTGAGCGGCTGATATTCATGAGGGAAAACATGCAGAACCACTTCTAAACATTTCACTCGAGGGACGTCAGTGGAGGCACACATTACTTTATTACTTTATTATCTCTAATAAAACACACCCTGAAAGAAAGAGGAGAGAGCACTCGTTCAGCATCATCATCTGTCAGCATCCTCACAAAAGTCCTCATTAGGGTGAAAACTTACACACTGTTTTCTGAATGAACATCGAAAATGCTTGTTCTTTTCATGATGTTTACCCTGAAACTTACTTTATTTATTGCTTCATCTAATTTGCATTCCAGATTTTGAAGCATCTGTGAACTATTCCAACACCCCATCCCTTTTAATGTTTTTGCTGATGTGGTCTGATCTTGATTTTAAGTATTTTCCAGACAAAAAAAATTACATGAACAAGCTACTTAGTCATTTGTGAAGGTTAGAAGTGGATCCACAGTGAATCTGCATAAAGCTTCTTTTGATGACGTGGAGTTTGGATGAGAGGAAGCAGCTCAGTCATGAAGTCCTGTCTCTGGGCTGTGTGGGTTGTACGTAGGAGGCTACAGCGGCCTTGATTCTGGGGTTGTGAAAGGGAAAAAAATGTCTCTTATCTATGAAAATCAAATTTTCTTCTACCCTTTGTGCCCCAGAACAAAAACCAATAAAGAAGCCCGAGGCATTGCCACCCAGGTGTTCCTCCAACTTTCTCCATGACTCAGTGTTTGTCTGCATGGAGAGAGGGGGGCTGCATGACTTTTATGTGTTTATGTATTTATTTATTCCACAAATATGATATTTCTACTGGGTTTGTTTCTCTAAACCCTTTACTGTTCAAGTGACCATATTTTATCACTTGGACATCTTGGCTTTGAATCTTGATTTACAACCGAGACATGAAACTTTGAAATAAAGTTACAAAAAAAAAACTTGGTAATAGTTTTAAATATTCTAAAAGTAAAAAATATTTTAAAATAGCTCTCAAAGTTCATTTTAGCACATTTTATGGTCCTGTTCTATCACAATGAGATTTTTAAAAGATCTTCAGCTCTAATTTTTTTTCTGTGTCACATGATGACTGCCTAGGTCGCAGAGCAGCTAATGACCATTGCCTATGAGAGTGGGGTCAACTTGTTCGACACAGCTGAGGTCTACGCTGGCGGCAGGTGGGTGTCACATAAACCTGTGTGTCTGAATGAAGCACAACTACAACAATCAGCTTTGAGTTACGCTGGGGGACAGCAGTAGCTCAGGAGGTAGGTCGTCTAGTCATCAGAAGGTTGCAGGTTTGATCCTGGCTCAGACCAGAGAAAGCTGCTGTTGTGTCCTTGTGCAAGACACTTAACCCACATTGCCTGATAGTGGTGGTCAGAGGGACCGGTGGCACCAGTGGCACCAGTGTTTGGCAGCCTAGCTTCTGCCAGTGCGTCCCAGGGCAGCTGTGGCTACATCGTAGCTCATTCCCATTAGCATGTTAATGTGTGTGTGAATGAGTGAATGACTGATTGTTGCAAAACCCTAAGAAGGCACTATACAAATACAGACCATTTACCATTCAGTCATAACATCTATATAGTTGTTCTAACCAATTCTCTGCACTTGCTGAGGACCCTTCTTTCCGCTCAACCAGCTGATGCAATCCAGCAGGAGTCTGTCATGGTCTGCGTCTGTGTCTTCCTTCATGTGTCTTCTGATGTTTCTCCATCCCTCTCTAGATTCCCTTCTGTGTCTCATAGCGCCCTCATGTGTCTTTTGTCTGCGCCTCAGTTAAAGTGTCTTATTTTGTTACCCTTTTAAATCATTCCTCCCAGGTCAGCTCCAGCTTCTTTGTCCTCAGCTCAGTGTGTGTGTGTGTGTGTGAGTGTGTGTGTGTGTGTGTGTGTGTGTGTGTGTGTGTGTGTGTGTGTGTGTGTGTGTGTGTGTGTGTGTGTGTGTGTGTGTGTGTCCTCCCCAACTCAGTGTAAGTGTGTGTGTGTGTGTGTGTGTGTGTGTGTGTGTGTGTGTGTGTGTGTGTGTGTGTGTGTGTGTGTGTGTGTGTGTGTGTGTGTGTGTATGCATGTCCCTTCCCCAGTTCAGTGTATGTAGGTGTGAGTTTATGTGTGTCAGTGTGTGTATGTGTGAGTCCTTCCCTCAGTCTGTAGGTTTAGTTTTTGTGTTTTAGGTTTACCTGTCCTCCTTTGGTCCTGTTTTCCCCATTTAGATAAATTATTGTCACCTGTCTTCCCTCCAGCCCTCACCCCACACACCTGCTGCCATTTCCCCTAATTACTCCTCCCTGTGTATATAAGCCCTGTCTTGTCTCTGTCTTGTGTCGGTCCATTGTTGTATTTCTGTCAGCATTCGTTCGTGCTCTGTCTCAGCTTTTTTGTCTGTCGGTCTTCGTGTTCTTAGTGAGCTTTTGGTCTCCAGTTGTTGGTGCTCTAAAGAGAGCTTTGGGTGTCCTGTCCTCCAGAACTTTTGGACTTTTGGCTCGCTGCCATTTTGGATTTATTTTTGTTTCTTCCTAAATAAAAGGATTTTTACTTTTACCAACTTCTGCCTCGAGTCATCCTGGGTATCTGCATATTTGGGTCCTAAACATCCCCACAACATGACAGAGTCTGTAGTCTGTAAGAAGACACCTCCACAGTCTCTTCCCTCCTGGACCTCAACCTCCAATGCCTGACACAAAATACTGAAGAATGCTGTGCGTCAACATTTCACTGGACCACCTGCTCTGGTTCAGGATGGGAACCCCTCCACGGCCAACCCTCCAATTCCCCGGTACCACAGTGACCCAAACTCAGAATCCTTCAGACCGCGTCCATTGTTTTTCCTACCACTTTGCTGATAGGTGACTCAGTAATCAGGAATGTCTGCTTTTTCAATGTCATGACGAGATGTTTTCCATCAGTCACCATCCCTGCTCTTCTGGACACATTTCCTGGTCTGCTGTGCTCCATCCCAGCTTCAGTTAAAAGAGTGATCATTCGTGTGGGATCAAATGATGCTTCACGTCGGGAGTCTGTCAGCACACAAAAGCATTTTAAACATCTCTTTGACATTTTGAAGAGCAGAGGAAAGTCTGTTTTCATCTCTGGCCGATCCCTACAGTTTAGCCGCCTGCTGTCTCTCCACTCTGGGCTTCAGTCTGCTTGCAGGCCCCTCAGGTTTGGTTTCATTGATAACTTCAACCTGTTTTGGGAGCTTTTTTCTTTTTTTCAGGTGAGACCGTTTTCACTCTAACCAGCATGGCTGGATGCTATCCTCTAACATCAGGTATGCTGTGCGGTCCCATAAACTTACATCCAAGGTGGATTCCATACAGAGATGACGGTCTACACCCCAGCCGTCTACACCTACTCAGCCATTGCTTGCACCACCTAAAGCCAGTCTCTTCAGAGTCTCCTAAAGTCTCTAAACATCATCGCCCTCTACAGTCCTCCCCGATGCAGCCATTATCTGTGTGTCTTCCAAAGGTCACTGTCCCCACAAATTATACTTCTGCTGACAAACCCAAAAGTTTTCCTATTTCAGTTATTTTATTAACCAGCAAGGACATCAACGGTTTTATGGCCTGAGAACCGAGAAACGCACCAGATGTTTTTGACCTATCCCTCTCCAACAGGTTAAGAAGACAAATGATCCCCAGGATGCAGATCGGTGTGCCCTGTTAAATGCCCATTCCATCTCTAACAAATCCTTTACTTTTTAAATGAGCAGGGGTCTCATTTATCAAACAATGCGTAGAATCTTTACTAAAACCGTACTTAAGCTCAGCAAAAAAAGTTTACTTACGCCAAAGTAGGTTTGTGATCTATCAAACATGGAGTACGCACAGCTGCACGCAATCTCCGCTTCATAAATCAGACACTATCTACAAATGTTCTCAGCTGCTTTTTAGTCACATCCCACCCTCACCACGCCCACTTACTGCCATAAATAGTCAATGCAAAGTGCCTTGTGGACCTCGTGCATATACATAAGCCGGCTGTTGCAGCATTTCGATCACGACTGCCAATCAAGGCAGATCAAGGAAACGCTATTTCACAAGAAGAAATTCACGTACTTGTGGGTGAGGTGGAGAAATGAAAGGAAGTGCTTTTGCAAAACAAATAAGAGAAAATCCAGAGTGGCACAGCGTTGCTGAAGCCGTCAATGCTGAGTTCTTCAGAGAGATCTGTGGCGGATATAAAAAAAAAAAGATCCAATAAGGATTCGATCCCCAGACTTCCAGGTGAAAGTCACGCACGCTAACCAGTCAGCCAAACAGAGATCTCCCTTGTCCAAGTAGCCAGGGCGTATGATCAATCAGGTCACAGTGACAGGACACACACACTGTCACAGACGCATGACATTCTGTCTCAATTTGTTCCCCATGCTGATATTCTGCATTCCGTATTCTGCGCTTCAGGCTGTGTGTGTGTGTGTGTGTGTGTGTGTGTGTGTGTGTGTGTGCGCGCGCGTGTGTGTGTGTGTGTGTGTGTGTGGGGGGGGGGGGGGGGTCTTGTTCTGTGTGAAAAGGAAGCAGTACAAGTGATAATGCTGCAGGATTTCATAATTTTATCCTTCTCAGCAGCAGCACTGCAGGTGCTCTCCATGTCCAAAATGTGCGTAAGCAAGGTCCTTAGTCAGCTTAAAGTTGCGCACATTTTTCTGCTAAGTTTTCTTTCATAAATCCCAAAGTTTGCGTGGAAAGTTGCTTACCCAGTTTTCCGACCCTGTTTTGTGTGTAAGCAAGCTTGATAAATGAGGCCCCCGTTCATCAGAAAGAACTTGGACTATTTATTTCTTACTGAGATTTGGCAGCAAGATGGAAATTTTGTACATTTTAATTAAACATGTCCACCAAATCGCTCTGTGTTTACCACACCACATCCATCATGCTGTGGTGGAGGTTTAGCTGTGTTCTTTATGGACAAACATGTCTGTAATTTGATGAAAAGTGGCCCTTTTACTACTTTGAATGTGAGGTAATTAAAGTAGATTTACGAAATGTCTTTCACCATATTTTTATCTATCAACCTCCCGGTCCAGCTGGAACTTTTCTCCTAACTGGAGCAAACAGAAGAACTCACATCACTCCTATCCTGATGACTTTGCATTGGTTACGCATTACCTTAGAATTCATTTTAGAATTCTGACTATAACTTTCAGAGCTCTACATTGTCAAGCTCCACCTTATATTACTGAAAGCCATAAGATCCAACTCGGGCCCTCAGGTCCACGAACTAGAATCAAAAACTACACTACACACAGATGTGACTCCACCAACATCGGCGAAGCTCTGAAGAAGGCTACAGATAGCCAAAGCATGTCAGCAAAGAAGGTAAAATAAATCTCTACTACTCTGTGTTCAGAAAAGAACCAAATCATGGAACTGGATAACCAACAGAGAACAAACTTGACAAAGATATACCTTAACGTTTCTACAAAAGATGCATCTTCATCAGAGTAATTGTTCACTGTGAAAGAGTGGTTCAGGGAGCATGATGCATCATTTTCACACATGGATTGGCCACCACAGCGTCCAGACCTTAACCCTCTGATGCATGAATTATGAGATCTTCAACCATGATTTTAAAAAAAAAATTTCATTCATCTTTAGGTGTGACTGAAACAAATTTCAACAAATATTTTTGTAATATTTTGTTAATTTACTAATAATTTATTACATGTCCATCTCAGTGGACAGCGTGCATTCTGAACATGAAATTTGGTGGCTTGACTTACTGAAGTCCAAATGGAGGGGCTCACATGAAATAAAGTCTTCAACAGCTGTGCTTAATAGCAAAAATAAAGAAATAACAATTTTGAGTACCTGTCCACTGTAGTGACCATTATGCACCAAAGGGTTAACCCCATTGAGAATCTTTGGGATGTGCTGGAGAAGGCTTTGTGCAGCGGTAAGACTCACCATCATCAATGCAACATCTTGGTAAAACATTAATGCAACACTGGATGGAAATAAATCTTGTGACATTGTAGATATTTTTTCTCCGGTACCTGGGACCCAAGGTATGGACTTCTCATATAAACCTTTTAGATGGCTCCAGGTCAATCGCAACCAAGCAAATTAAATGAACCCTCTGGAGGCAGGCGTTGCAGATTTGCAACAGTTAAAACCTAACTACCTGGTTACTCCACATATGTATTTCATGAGCATTTTTTAACTCAGAAGTACCCCTGAAGGACTTAGTTGTTCGTCCTGTTATCAAAACTTATTTTGAGCCTGAGAGGGTTAAACTATTTGTTGGCAACCTATCTGTTGTGATTCTTTTCTTCACTTTTTTTTTCCTTTCCTCTGTTTTATGTTAATAATTAATGAAATGTAAGCCTATAGAATGATCTAATGATAAACTTGTACAAATTATCGGGGAATAGTGTTTTCAAAAGCCCTTTTGGCTTCTACCACTCTCCATGTGCGTTAATTTATTATTGTCTATATGTATGTATATATATATATATATATATATATATATATATATATATGTATATCTTTCATTTTATAATTTTTTTATGTGCTTTGCATAGCGAACTGTATGTTTTTTAACTTGTGCTAAATAAATAAACTAAACTAAGAAGCTTATCGAAACAACGCCACAGCAAACATGTGCTGTAATCAAAGCTAAAGGTGGTCCAACAACATTTTAGAGAGTGTGACCTTTGTTTGGAAGCAACTTTTTTGGGGCCAGGCAGTGTATATTCCTTTGTCTAGTAACTATACATAAATTGCCTTTGAGGCCTGGATTTAGTGACCACTGTTGGTGGATTCAAAGGCAAGAACCAAATAATGCAATGTGATCTGATAATCCTGGATTTGGACAAGTGTTTAGAGACCTTTTGGACTTTGTAGAACCTTAAATTTTTTGATTTACTGGCTAAACGAAATTATTCAGCTTTATTCCAAATCTTCGACACAGTTATGAAACAAAAGTTCAAAAGGATAAGAATGGGGGAAAAAATGCTATTAAGGGAAACTGGAGACTTAAAAGTTATTGCCAAGGTGTCCTGACTAAAAAGCACAAATGCGAATAAGAGAGTGATTTTTCAGCATTGGGAAAAGTCAGTAAGGAAATGTTGTCTCTTGTTCTAAAATTAGAACCTTATCAGTACATATCATACAGTAAAAATCAATTACCTCTGCAATAATTCACTCCAACAACCGAGGGGAACCAGGGACAATGATGCAAGGTTCGGGGGCTCGTGCACTGCCTTTCTGCCCTTTTCTTAATGAATTGTCTTGCCTCGGGCCATGCTCGGTTTAATGACAGTGAATTGCTGTGTTGATGCTGTGATAGAAATGCTTCAGAGTTCAAACTGCAGTTTAATAACATAACCTCATTTGTGTTGCCTTGCAGGGCTGAAATCATTCTAGGAAACATTATCAAGAAGAAATGCTGGAGGTAAGGATGACGTCAATCAGGCTGTTTAACTCTTCTCAGTGAAAAAAAGATGAGGACATGAACGTCAGTGTTTAAGCTTGTTTCATTGCAAAATGTTGGGTTTTAATTTTCATTTTTGTCAGCTATGACTAAATGTCAAAATTTCCATGAAACATGCACGCACATGCAAACACTGTATCACGACACCGCAGCATGAAAAAGTCAGCGTGTGAATGCGTCTGAAGGCGTTATCACTTTCTATGAATTATGAATTTCAAACAGTCTTTTTTTCAGAGACGTTTAAACATGCTCCATTACTTTCAGCATGGAAAGGGAACATTACGCAACAAATCTAAAGAAAATCTTTACTGAATGTTGGGTCTTCATCTCAGGGATCATGAGGTTTGGACCATATTTGCTTATTATTAATGAAACAATATCAGGTCACTCCCTAGTTTTCTTAAGCTAAACACTTTACTAATGAGATGTATGACTCCTTTTGCTCATTAAACAAAAAAATTAAAATATAAAAAAGGCACATAAAAGCAGAATTATACTTTCTCAAAATCCTCTTTAATAAACATTGAAATGATCAGTTTTAAAATGATTAAAAAACAGAACGAGCATCTCTGTGTAATGGTGGTTTTAAAGCTGTACATGTGGGAACATTTAGCTGCTGTCACTTGACTCCATCATTATGCAGCTCACAGTAATGTCCTGTACCGGGCCGACTGCATTACACAAGTGGGCGTTTTGATGCTGCTACAGTTAGGACACACAGAAGCCGACATTTCAGGCTGAGTGTTCTCATGAATATGCAGAGAGGACATGTTTTATGTTGAATAATATCAGTGATAATAACAAAAACATCAACAACAACAACAACAACAATAATAATAATAACAACAGTAATAATAATTTAGGTTCCCAGTTTACGGTTGCACTTCCATGATTGGGTGAAAAATTTAAATTCAACTGTAACTTCATCATTATATTTCTTGCAAACAAGAATCCTACTGTGACATTTTGTCTCAGGTCAAAAATGGTGGCTGTCAGATAAGAAGTCCTCCCACGTGGTGAGTCAGACAGTCAGGGTGATTTGTGTTTACAATTCCAGTATTGGTCCATTACGGTATCTACAATAATTAAAGTCTCTGGGTTGTATTTATCTATTATCAGGACTAAATGAACACTTTAATTAACATTTAACCTGATTTCTCTTTGGACAACCTCAGTTTAGAGAAATAGAGATTAGTTCTAAGGAGACTGATGAGCTAACAGCTAGTCACATAATTGATCATTAATTTAAATCACATTCACTGCGGTTCATGTATAGAACACTGAAACTTTTTAAGGATTATTTCTGATTCTAATTAGTCCCTCTAATTATGCGGGCTGAACATGAAAATAGTCTCCTACACCCAAGGGCGTCAGTTTTTTTTTCAGAATTGCTGGGGACAATAACCATACACTTGAGTGGGGTTTAAAAATTGCTGGGGACAATATAGGCTAGCACAGGGGTCGGCGGCTCTGTAGCCGCATGCGGCTCTTCCATCCATCTGATGCTCTGTGCTTGTAAAATAATGAATGGATATTTAAATAAAAAGCTTTATATTTTACTGCATTAATTTTACATCTGTATGCTAATTCTAAATGTAAAGATTGTCTGTGTAAACCTGAACAGGTCCAACCCGGTCTTACTGTGAGACCGGGTTGACGCGTCACGCTTGTGCGTAATCATATGCGCTTCCTGAGCTGGAGGATGTCAGATTCTGGGATTCTCCTCAGACGGCTCCTGGATGCGTCGCCACATTGGAGACAGGAACAAGCGCTATTCAGCCAAAGTTTCATAATCAGGGAACATTTTCTAAGTGACAAGTCTCTCTGAGAGACAGGGTTTGGAAAACACTCGCTTCAGTGGGAGGAACCTTCTCACATGCGCTCTGGTTCTGAGAGCCTGGATTTGTATTCTGAACAGTCTAAACATGTTTTAAAAAGAAACGTATGACAAAAGTGGCACCTGCTCAGTAAAACCACCAACAGGGTGAAAAATATCAAAATATTGTAGGCAGAGACGGGCTACAACTTCTGGATCATCTTTATATAAATCGTTTTATTGATTATCTTCTTATGAAAGATAACTTTGACGTACACAAGCGACCAGGCGCGTGGGAGATGTTGTCTGTGCCTAAAATAATTTGATGTTATTCATCTTGTTAGTTTAATTTCCATAATAGCGGAGCAGGTGCGAATTTTAGACGCGTCACGCATGTCTCCGTTTTAAACATGTTTAAACTGTTCAGAATACAAATCCAGGCTTTGTCTCGTTAGTTTGGTGTAACTAAAGTTTGTACTGAATGAAACTTTACATTAAACCATGTTGAAAAGAAAAGGATCCGATTAAATCATTTCCCCTCATTTACAGTCATGAAGTGCAGTGCACGTGGCTCTGGGGTTAATCAAGTTTAGTTGTTTCTCTTTGCAACAATCTTCACAAGAAGGCAAAACAGTTAAATGGCAGGTTACAGATATTTCCATTTGACTGTATTTTGACGGATAAACTCAAGGATGCTGGCTGTTTTGAAAGAATTACCCCGACGCACACTGATGCGCATGGATGAGCTTGGAAAAATGTTCTTTTTATGAAATTATTCAACTTTGGCTGAACAGCGCTTTTTCCCGTCTCTAATATGGACACGCAAGACGCATCCAGTCTGAGGCAGAATAGCAGCTCAGAAAGCACCTGTAGAGACATTTGATCACGCACAAAGTTTATGTGGAGCAGAAGCGGTCGGGCCACGGCAGGTGAAATGTTCCTAGCCTACATGAAGTGAAACTGTTTAATTGTAACATTAATATGTTACTGGACACGCTGGTCTGGTTGGTTAGACCAGTCTTTGAAGTGGAAAACACACACACACACACACACACGCACACACACACACACACACACACACACACACACACACACACACACACACACACCAATTAAAATAATGCTGATAGCATGGACTAGAAGACAGGTGATGGTTTACGTATTTAAATGATGATCAGGCTGCTGTAAAATGTAATCTCCATCCACATCCAGACAGAATTATCCTCTATTCTTTCTCTAGTTGCTCTGCTCTTGTCTGGGCTGACAGCTGACGGTGCGCGCGGCGTGCCTAACGGCTGTGGTGCACATTTTACTCATTTGGAGAGGTGGGCTGGATGCTTTGCGTTTACTGGAAGATGGTCCACTTAACGCACGGGTGTAGACTACATATTAATGACAAATGAATGAAAATTAAACTGGGAGTTTTTACTTCATATTTTAGAAATAAAAATGACGGGGGAACACATTTATGACGTATTTTTAAACGAAATTTTCTAGCGCGACCTGCCTGCTTCACTAATTCACTGCTTATTAAGGTCCGTCCAGAATTACCGTGGCCCACCCAAAAATGAAAACCTGGCGCTGTGCCTGTTATAAACCTCTGCAAATTGTTGTTCTTCACTTTATCAAACTCAGACTTTGTACAGCTAATGTCAAGATGTAAAATTATGAATTAAATTGAGCTCTCCTTCCCTCCCTATCCTGGAAACCTGACATCGGCTTTCAGAAGCGGGAGGTGAAGAAGGAGATGAGGCAAACAGAGTGAGTGCGACGTAAAGAAACCAGACTGGTGTGGAGGTGAGCAAAACAGCTGGAAAAGTGTGGGTGTTGAATCCCCCACGGGTGCAATGTCCATGCGAGCGACCGGTACCGGCTGCTGTCACCTGGTTGTGAGCAGCTCTCTGCTGTCTGAGGGTAGGCCCCGCCCACAACGCTGCAGCCGCTGCGGCTACTGCGGTGTTTTCTTTACTGTGGGAAACGGGTAATAATGGCTCTTTGATGGGAACAGGTTGCCGACCCCTGGTATAAGATCTGAGCTGGTAAAACAAAAATCCTCATCAGCAGGCTTTTTTGAAAGTGGGGGGGACACAACTGCCAATCACAAATTTTGCCGGGGACATGTCCCCGGCATCCCCGGTTAAAATGACGCCTATGCCTACACCTATCTCCTGCATTAACTTCTGATTGAAAATAGACAGTGAAAATCTAGGATTTAAAAATTGTGACAGATCTATGTCACACTGTCACTTATCATTCATAGACTCACGGGAAGGCTGTTGTTGTTTTAATGAACGGGAATCATCAGAGAACATCTCGGCTATAGTTTAAGCTAACTGTTAGCATTACCAATTTCACCACACAGCAGAAGTCCTCCAGGCTTGTGCTATTTGTGGAGATACAACATCCATGTCGCAAGTCAGTGGTAGAGTCGCTTTGATGTTACCCTATCCAAGGCGAGATGTTCAAATATCAGGAAACAAGACTCAAAGAAGACAGCCGAATAACCACAAAACCACTGCCAACTGCTTTTATTGAGCTGAGATCAGTGGACTCCGTGGTCTCAGCAGCTGAAAACTCACCTGTTCAGGCTGGCTTTTGCGTAACCTATCGCCACCCTCTCCTTATTCTGCTCTTATTCCGCCTTTGCCGGGATCCACTGATTTCCCTCTTTTCTATTCATTTTCTCTCGCCATTTCCTTAAAAACATTTTTTAGACACAGATTTATTTTTTTCTCATTTAAATTTTTTTTTAATCTTTTTTGTAATTGTCTTTGTTTTTGTGAAGCACCTCATGATTTTTATCATGAGTGGCACTATATAAAAGATAATTTTCTTTCTTTCTTTCTTTCTTTCTTTCTTTCTTATTGGGCGTTAATGTACTCATGGGTTGTATCTAAAAATGCAAACAGAGATTAGCAGTGACAATACAATTTGCAGTTTTCAAAAATCACCAAAGGAATGGCCCAGTTTATGGAAAGGCCAAATCAGAGGTAAGATTTAAAAGCCATTACGTGGTTTTAAAGGGATTTGAACTAAGCAGTAACTGAGAAAATAAACCTAAGCAGCTTGAAAACAAAAATGTTATTTCTTAACACTGATAGCTTCTCCTAGCATTCAGACTCACAACTCTACATAAAAATCACACCCTGATGAGGAATTCTGGGATTATGGGGTCTCAGATTTATTGCATGGATTCTCATAATGTCTTTGGGCTGCAAAGCTCTGCTTGTCAAACAGAGACCCAATCTCAGCACTCGCACTTGCACCCTTGTGCCCTTCAATAGCGCGTTCCCGGCCAGGGGTGCGAGTGCGTAGGGTGTCCCGATTCTCAAGTGCAGAAGTTGGCCATGCCCTCATTGCACCCTTAATCTGCACTTCACCCAAATCCACAGCGATGCGGACCTCGAGCAAGGGTAATACCCACAAGTCATTGCTGCAGGAGAAAAGGCTCAAGTTCCTTTTCTGAAAATATGTAATTTTTAATGAAATTAGTTAATTTTAGGATGAATAGTTTATACTCTGAATGTTTTAGACAAAGCAGCAATGAAGTTACATTTATTTCAAGCAATTCAAATCAAATCAAATCAACTTCATTTATATAGCACTTTTCATACAAAAAAATGCTACTCAAAGGACCCCAGAGGAACAGGTATCCTAACTCACCATAAAAGTCCTGTCTGTGAGGTAGGATGTGAACCAACTGTGAACAGCACCAGAGAGGCCGATTTGTTTTAAACGGGTTAAAAGAATAGTGTGGTCTACTGTATCAAAGGCAGCGCTTAGATCCAGCAGAACCAACACTGTTGCCCTCCGAGCATCATAATTTGTTCTAAAATCATTTAAAATCTTCAGAAGGGCCGTCTCAGTGCTGTGGTTCACCCTAAAACAAGACTGAAATTTCTCTAGGACATGTTGGTGGTTGATAAAATCATTAAGTTGTATTAAAACAAGCTTCTCTAAAATTTTGCTTAAAAATGGTAAGTTGGATACCGGTCGAAAATAGTTAAAGTCATTAAAATCTAAATTGCTCTTCTTCAACAGGGATCTGACCACCGCCCGTTTAAAAGCAGCAGGAAAGACCCCCGTCTGAAGGGAACAGTTCATCAAAGTTAAAATCTCATCTCTAAAAGAGTCATAAAATTGTTTAAAAAACCTTGTGGGAACAGGGTCCAGAACACACGTGGTAGGCCTCACTGAGGAGAAAACTTTATCAATAGTCTCAACTTCAACCAAGACAAAACTGTCCAGTGTTTCCTCAGGTAGACACACACTCTCAGATTGATCGGGAGCAACATGACATTGGGAGGAAAAAATGTTACGTCTGATGGTGTCTACCTTCCCTCTGAAGTGGGCTGCAAACTCCTCACAGAGAGCATCCGAGGGGGTTTTCTGGAGAGAACTAAATTCACGACCCAAAATATTTGTAATTGTAGAAAACAGAACTTTGGGATTATTTTTGTGTTCAGAGATGATTTTAGAAAAGTAATTATTTCTGGAATTTCTAACAGCTTTATTGTAGGATTTTAATAATTCAGTGTATATTTGTTTATTAATTGTGTTGTTATATTTCCTCCATTTTCTCTCCGCCGCCCTGCAAGATCTTTTCAACATTTTTAAGTTTTCATTGCTCCAAAGGGAAGCCGGTTTTGGCTGTAGCTTTTTAATTTTAGGTGGAGCGAGCAGATCCAGAGTAGATTCAAGTCTACTGTTAAAATCATTGAAGATAAAATCACAGGGGGCATTTAAATTAATAGGAGGGATCTTTTTAAAAGTTTCCAGAAAACCAGCAGCCACTTCAGGGGTGAGATGGTGTTTCATTACAGTTCTCACAGATGTCTCCTGCTGAATTATACTGGTGATGCCAAAAAACACACAGAAATGATCTGAGATCGCTAAATCCACGACAGAGGACACACCGGTGGACAGACCATACGTGATGACCAAGTCCAGGGTGTGTCCTCTGTCGTGGGTTGGTTGTGCAACATGTTGTATAAAATCCATATAACTCAAAATGTTTAAAAATTCAGTGGTAAAAGGGTCTGCAGGGTCATCTATGTGTAAATTAAAATCACCAGCTAAAATAATACTATCAAAAGAGTTGTGCAGAATTGATAAAAACTCAGAAAATTCCTGTATAAAAAGTGCACTGTGCCTCGGAGGCCTATAAACAGTAACACATAAAATCTGAAGATCGCTAAAAATGGCTGCACAATATTCGAATGTGGTGTAGTTATCAAATAAAACATGTTTTGCGGAAAGTGTGGAAGAGCTTATAAGAGCAGTTCCGCCTCCCTTTTTTCCATTTCTTATTGAATAAGTAAAATTAAAGTTTGGTGGGGAGGCCTCTGACAGAACAGCAGGAGCATCCGAACTCAGCCATGTTTCTGTCAAAAATGCACATTTAAAGTGATTATCTAAAATTAGGTCATTTATAATAAAAGTTTTGTTCAGCAGAGAGCGAACATTTAAAAGAGCCACATTGATAGTAACTAAAGATGCAGTGACTGTGTGATTTACTGGGGGTGAGATTCTTGACAACTGTTTAAGATTATTAAGATTAGACCGGTTAGTTTTATGTTAATGTGATCGCTTTCTGCTGATGACGGGTATGTGAGAGGTGTGCAAGGGTCCAAGTCCAATATGTGGGTTACTGTTAAAATCATAACTGGGTTCATAGGATCCTGGACCAGTGGGACATCATGATGTGGGGGGAGGAGGTTGGAGCATGTGGGTAGCTGGGGGTGGTGTGGTGGGTAAAGGTGGTCGTGGGCAGGCCAGGCTCATTTTAAGTGTGTGGGTACCCTGTCTATTTAGATGGAGTCCGTCAGGCCCAAACAGATGCTTCCTGCCCCAAAAATATTAAAATCGTCAATAAAAGCAATGTTGTGCTGCACAGTGATAGAAGAAAGCCAGGATAAAATTCGGCTAAAATGTCCAATTCCTCTATCAACCGTGGGGATGGGGCCAGAGATAAAAACACACAGATTGGTGGTTTTTAAAAGGCTAAAAAGATGGGTAAAATCACGCTTGAGGAGTTCAGACTGCTGCATGCGGGTGTCGTTGGTGCCGGCGTGGATTATAATTTTACTCACTGTTGGGTGATTGTGGATGAGGTCTGGGATCCGTTTGGCAATGTCCATGACTTTCGCTCCGGGAAAACTGTGAGTGACGGCTCCACTCATCCTGATGTGTTTGATGATTGAGTCTCCGATGATGAGGGTCCTTGGTGGCGGGTCGGCTTACTTTGTTGTTTGTTTGAAAGTTGTTAATAAAGATTTTTGAAAAAGTTTTACAGCAACCAGCATCCCGGCATGCGTTGCGATTGATGACGCAATGCTCCCTGTCTCAATTCGGCAATTATTTGCACACTTGTGTACCACGCACTTGAACCCTACTGCGCACTTTCTCCAAGTGCACTTTGCTGAAGACCGCAGGGCGCAGGGCGAGTATTGAGATTGGACCAGATTGAACTTCTGTGAAGATGCATGTGTCACTCACCTGCTCATGTTGTTCCTGTTTTCTGTTCTTTCTCTCTACTTCTTTAGACGGTCGAGTTTGGTCATTACAACAAAACTTTACTGGGGAGGAAAGTAAGTTGGAAAATCTGTTTCATAACCCCAACACTCGGAGTGAGGGGTTGTCCTGCTTCATAAGATCCTATCCAACTGGGTCTTGTGATAGGAAAGAAATAATAAAATAATTCCTTTTTCTTTAAATGTTTTCAATCCTGTTAGAAGTTTTGGTCCTCTGTGCTTCCTGTAGGGCTTTTATGCCTAAAGATGTTTGGCAGCTGAGTGTGCACTGACCCATTTACATGAAACACCCCTAATCGCACCATTTCACAGCAACCAACATGTCAGAATTTGCATGAAAATGTTGGATTAAAAACATTTTTTCTGCAACTCAGCTGTCAAACTGCACCTTAGTGTTGGAGTAGGCCTACACGGTTCCTAGAAAGTAGAAATCAATCCATGTTGATTTTCTGTATTTAATTGTTCATGGCTCCTTTGAAGGAACACTAACTGGATGAGTTTAAAATGTATTAATGACCATTTTTTCCTATCAGAGCAGAAACAGAAAGAGGATTGTCGAGGAAACACATTATTGAAGGTAACAATGCTTTAACCGGGGATTTTCCACTTTTAGCCAGTTTTTCTAAGTTCAGTTTTGCATCTCTTTGTCCGTCAGGCCTAAAAGGTTCTCTACAGAGGTTGCAGATGGAGTACGTAGATGTAGTCTTTGCCAATCGCCCAGACAGCAATACTCCCATGGAGGGTGAGTCGGTTTATCAACTTTTATTCAACGAAACAATCAAATAAGGAGTCATTTATACTTTCTGAGATCACAGTCTAACTGAAATTATCTCACGTCTGACTTGAGAAACAAATAAAAATACTATTAACACATAACAAATTATTAATATTACAAAATCCTTTTTATTTTGACTCAAACTTACTTAGAACAGGCAGAGTGGTAAAACAACACAAATTATGATTTGTGTCTGAAAAGATTTAAAAAATAACGTATTTCTCTGCAGAACATCCTTCCACCACTGAAACCAGTTTTTTTTTTATTTTGTGTTTCAGATCTGGAGCTAAATTCACAAAATTATTTCTTGAAGGTCACTCCGTGTTTCTGTTAGAGCTGTTGCTCATCATTTTTCAGACTTTTTGGTTGGAAATCGAAGCAGATTGCAGTTAAAAGGGAGTCGACCCTCTTGTGAAGACAAAGAGGGCAGGGTGAGGGCCGGAGACAAGAGGGAACAAAAGAAATAGGTTTTTGTTATCTGCAGTGTGTTATTTCCTTTGGCAGGATGGAGTTGTTAATTATCACCTGCCAAACTAAAGAAAATAAATAAGGGCCTATAATTCCAAGTTATTAAGTCCTTGACTCAGTACTTTCTTCTGATTTGTTCCTTTAACTTTTTCTTATGTCTCCTTATTTGCAGTGAGTTTCTGTCATGTTTTGCAAAACATAATCTGCTGTGTCAGAACCAGCTAAGAGTGGAGAACAAGAGTCCTGCCATGCAGGAGGGTGTTATAACTGGAGTCAGCGCGTCGCAGTGATGAACAGCCTTAATGACAGCCCTAATTTGAGTTTTTGCTGGCTCTGACTGCTGCGTGCCTGCCCAGTCAGCAGTGTTGGAGCTAATTGCAGCATTAAAAATGTGGCAGCTTAAAAGTTATCGAGAAGCATTAGTGTGTGAGCTTGTTAGTTTATCCCCATAGTCGTTAGAGACTGGAGAGGGTTAGGGATTGTGATTAGTGGATAACAAAACTACATCAAAAATCAGACCTTGCTGTTTTGCTTAACTTTTTTTGTGTTTTACTTTTTAATCTCCTTTTCCAGGTTTCCATTGAGCCTGCACTCACACACGCGCGCGCACACACACACACACACACACACACACACACACACACACACACACACACACACACAAAGCGTATTCCCTTTCATTGTTTGCTTTAGGCTTTACTGATTGTTTGGTTGTGAGATTTTATTCATCTCTTTTCTCAGCCGTCTTTTCATGTGCTGATTAAAAATACGGAACCCACCTGCCCAAAGAGAACATCAAACGTGTGTCTGAGGTTATTCTGCTCCTGCAATATCTTTTATTGGTAAAATAATTTAAGGAGCCCAACTTTTAATGGAGTTCCAGCCCCAGAATGATCCTTTTCATTCATATTTGACAGTTTTTCCTGATTCCGTTTAGATTATGTGAGCTTTACTGATTCTAACAGCTGTTCACAACAAATAGGCCTGTGGATATGACCCTGTTGTTATTTCTGTCAGTAATGGGGGATCAAACCAACATGTTATTTTCCCAGCTGACTGATATGAAATGAGTATGTCTCTCTACAGAAATTGTTCGAGCCATGACCTACGTGATTAACCAAGGCATGGTGATGTATTGGGGCACATCTCGGTGGACGGCCATGGAGATCATGGTAAGCAACACAAAGCCTGTACATGTATAATTTTGACAGCCGTGAAGTAGTATATTGGGGAGTAGTTAGTTATGTGTCTTTGTCATTGCATACCTAAATACTAATATATTTATACGTGACCTAGGTGCTTCAGAAGGAAGTGATTGGTAGTTGGTGGAAACCTTGGACTGCACAGTGGTGCAGTTTATTAGCACCGTAGCCTCAAAGCATGACATATTTGGGTTTCTTCACAGGTAGACCTCTCCATGTGAACTTTGCATGTTCTCTTTGTGAATTAGTTGAGTTTCCCCAGATCCTTTGTTTTGGTTCACTTGTTAAATCAGTATTTGTAATGGTCTCTATCAATCAATCAATCAATCAATCAATCAATCAATCAATCAATCAATCAAAGCTTTATTTATAAAGCGCCTTCCGCAACCCTGTCAGGAAGCCCAAGGCACTGAACATGGTACAGTAGAAATGAATACCTAGTAGGAATGAATACCTTGTAAGTCATACTCAGGGGATACAAAGTCCCGTTGTGCATGTTTCAGGAACTAGAAGTGAGCCACATCAGAGGTGAGCTGAGCACGGCAGGATTTGGTGTCTTATTTCCTGATATTTGAACGTCTCGCCTCTGATTGGCTAACAGCAACATGACTCTACCACTGAATCTGTTTGCTGTGCAACGTTGATGTTTTATCTCCACAAATAACACAAGCCTGAAGGAGTTCTGCTGTGTGTTGGAGTTGCTAATGCTAACTGTTAGCTTCTACCTGCCGAGATGTTTTCTGCTGTTTCCTGGATGCTAAACAAACAACAACCTTCCCCGTTGGAAGTCAAGATGGGTGAGTCCATGTGACAGTGTGACATAGATCTGTCAGGCTTTTCAAACGTTACACGGTCTATTTTATATGAGAACCTAATGCAGCAGATAGGTGTAGGGGACTATATTCAGATTCAGCCTGCATGAAAATCTCAGAGTGGCCAAGTATAATCAGAAATAATCATTAAAAACGGTTTTCAATGAACCACTCCTTTAAGTCCCCTAATAAGCTTGTTGGATCAACTGATACATCTAAATTGGCCCACAGTGTGAGTGCATGGCTGTTTGTCATGTGGTTCTGTGGGCTGGAGAGATGATGAGGGTGACTGCTGGAGTTGAGTACTTTCTCCTCTGTGAGCCTGATGAATATAAATGGATGGATGGATGGATGGATGGATGGATGGATGGATGGATGGATGGATATGTGACTTTTCTGATAGCATCAGGGTCCTTGGCTGCAGAGCCAACTCTGAGAGATGGGATTTTATTAGCAGAGAGCTCTGATCACTGGATGGTAAATAACTTCTTGAACATGAAGATGTTCATGTCTCCAGAGTTGGAATACTGTGGTCCACTCACAAGTTCAGATGTGTAGCGCCTTATCATGTTATACCTAACAACAACCCTATACATCCTCTTATGCCTTCACTGCATTCTCAAATGAGCCCGCGTGAACTTTGAGAAGATTATAGGTCTCAGTCCCTAGTGCTGAGGTAGGACAGAAATCTATTTGTCCCGAAGATGAGTCCTAATCCCATTAATCATTAAATTGCCTGGTCATTTCCTGGGCAGGATCATCAAGAGCACCCTGAAGGACATGGCCACACTTCAAGAAACAGGCCGAGTTAAAGACCTGGCATGTGACGAGTGGACAAGTCAGGGCTGCCAAGAAAGTTCAAAACCTGGATTTACCAGCAAGGCATCAAGCCACGAACCAGCTGGCTTGCTCCTGTTCACACATCACTGACTGTCTTCAAGGATATGAAGGAGAATATTGTATTTACATGTCTCTGTCCAGTTTCCATGGCCCTCCTTAAAACTCCAGCAGGGTTGCTTAATTCAGCAGTGAAACACCTCTTCAGTGGCCTGTCAGAGATATTAATGGTTTCCTGAGAGGTGAAGCGGTACAGAAACTCTTCTCATCAGCTGGAATGGAAAAAAGAAAAGAAAGTGCAGCCTTTTAACCAGCCTGAAAAGTAACTAGACCCGATGTGAAGGTGAGCAAAATCACATTAGGATGACAGCGTAGCATCCAGCAACCTCAGTGCAGCATCGTCAGCAGGACCAGGAATGCATTTTGGAAGAAGTGGAGAAACATTTAAGGTGGTTAGGATGCAAAAGCAAACACTAATGACTGGATCACAGCCGTAGATGTTGCTGAAAAGCTGTGGAAGATAAAAATAGTCCTATCACAACTGGGTAGAAACAAGAAATATGAAAATTGCTTTATACAGTTTGGGAAATGAGCTTGAACAAACCCCAAAATGAGGGGGGGGGGGGGGGGGGGGGGGTCAGGAATCCCAGGTGAAGCTCAGTCTGAGAGACATTTCATATTCCTAGTCACTGTAGCTGTGATCACAGGGCTGACACGTTTCTCGCATCATGAGGGCAGGTGGTCCTAAAGAGGAGTTTATTGAATGAGAGGACGGGAGATGTATTGACACTCCACTGCTGTTAGCTGCTGTTTGGGGCCACAGGAAGTCACTACAAGAGGGCGGTCAGTAGTGTCTTTGATGCTGTTGAAGTGTGAAAAAGGTTGTGACTCAGAAGTAGCGATCAGTTGATTAAACCAAGGCACACGTTAATGACTGGCCACGTTGGTTTGGTTGCCTGGATGAGAACATACGATGGCAGCATCTAGGTTAGGTTGCAAGGCGTGTCTCAAATCATGATAGTTCTGGCATTACTCCAAGAATGTCTCAGTTAAAATATTTAGTGTTTGCCCAATGCCCCTCTTTACACATGGATGTTGATTCCATATTTACGCTGCATAACCACATCTGGAGTCATACTGCGCTTCATCTAGCTGATCAGTGTTACTCATACAGGTCACTGCTGAATACACTGCAGGTATCAGTGAAGGTTTTTGACAAAGTTCAACAAGATAACTGATTCTTGTCCTGCCTAATGTCATGTAGTACTTAGTGAAAAAGAGGAAAGTGGGATATCACATTGTAGGAAAGTCATTCAGTGGAGTACAGTGATGATTTAAATAAAAACAAGCTTCTCCAGGAAACTGCCTCTCCATCACATTAGTGTCTTCTGGCTCTGTTTCCTCCTCCTGTCAGAGACAATTTACCTTTTGTTTCAGCTGTCACTAAAAAAATAATGTTGCTACATAGCTGAGCCTTACCCAATAAACACTCAAGGACACAACAACCACCCTCTTTATTCTCTCCAAGCACAGAACCAACCATTTGCTATTTTCTATCCATAACTTGTGTAAAGTACATGTAACATTAAATAACACAAGGCCCGATAAATGATGTGTTGTTCAGGTGGCATCAATAATGGAGGGAGCTGGGAGTGTGTGTGTGTGAAGTGTATGTTACAGTGCAGCTGTTCAGTTTACATGAGCAGTTAAATGCACCACCAAGCTCACAGGCTGGAGCCGTGTCCCTTACAGGAGTACAGAAGGACAATTTGTTGAAGGACTCCAGAGAACAAAATAAAACCCACTCACTTTTTTAAAATATTACTCAAGGAAGGATCTTCTGTAGCAGTGTGTGTTGCAGCAGATCTGAAGAAAAGTTAAAGTCCCATTAGTTGTCACACTGGTGTATGAAATTTGTTCTACTAATTTAACCCATCCCCCGGTGGAGCGGCGAGCAGCCAGCCGTGCTCCTAAACCATTTGGTGGTGGTTTAACCCCCCCAACCCCTTGATGCTGAGTGTCAAGTGTGATAGCCTAGTGAACTAGACCAAATTCTTGCTTTGCAAAGAATGGTCTAGGCACGCTCCATTGGAACCTCAGCAGCTCCTACCAGGACTCTGGCTAGCCAATCACAGCTCTCTAGAGGGGTTTCAAACACATAAAGAGCTGTGATTGGTCCATAATGGTGGGCCAATCATAGTGCTCTATCTGCTTAGTGAACAAATCACAGAGCTTTATCGCTTTGTGGGCCAATCAGGGCACTCTATATGCCTGGTGGGTGGGATGATGCAACAGAGTGAAACAAGAGTATGTCACATTCATTGTCCAGTGGAATGCGGAGATCATTTGAAAGACAACGGTAGAACCCGCCCCACAACCGAGAGCCGTCAATGGAGCGTGGCCAGACTAAATAATACATTTATTTAGTCTGGCTTGCCAGGCTAAAGTGGTGAGGCATTGGGTCCCATTTTACAGGTCTTTGGTATGACCCGGCCATGGATTTGAACCCACTATCTCCCATTTTCAGGTAAGACACTCATGCCACTAGGCCACTGAGCTGGTCAGAAGACGTCAGATGCTTTGGTCAGACACTATTGTTGAATTACAGTCTGGTGAAGAGGACGATCAGTTACCAGTTCACCAGAGACAAGTTTCCTATATAACAGGGGTGTCAAACTCAAACTCACAAAGGGCCGAAATGAAACTCTGGGACGGAGTCGAGGGCCAAACTTAATATTTTTTGAAAAAGTGACGGCAAATTTGCACATTTTCTTTATCAACATGTATGCAATTTTGAACCTTTAAATTTGGAAACAAACATATTTCTGCATTAACACTGAATGTGGAATAACCAAATTACACACGAGCAAGTCAGTTTTAAATAAAAGGCATCAGTGGTATTCATTACTTGTGGTATATTCAGTATTTTTAAAATCTATTCAAGATTTATGTTTTCTTGTTTATTCATTTTTTTTATTTTTTATTCTCCTTTTTTTCTCCTGTAATACGTGTCATCGCTGCTGTGATGTCTAGCTTTCCCCACTGAGCAACAATAAAGGGATTTTCTATTCTATTCATCTATCTGCAGCCTTTCCACTTCCTGTTTTACTGTAGGTTAAATCTTTTCTCACGGGCCAACAACAAAATAAAATATAATTTTATCTTAAATGAAAATGCAACATCTCACCTGTTAACTTTCATGCTTTGGAGCAGAAAAAGAGCATAAAACCAACATATTTAAAGCTCAGTTTGTTCCACTGGTTTACTGTGATGCTCACCTGTTCCAGCCAGATACCTGCATCATGGGGTTGATCTGAGCTGAGGAGGAGACTCCTGTTGTTTTGTTCATCTTCATCATGATAATGACAACATTAGATGACAACAGGAGCTCACATAGGTTTGTGCTGATTAACATGTCTGAGCAGCTTGACCACGTTGTTGTGTGTCGGGGAGGAAACTCAACTACAGCAGCTGGTTTGAGCGTGTCGCTGCTCGCTGGAGTTATATCAGCTCTGTCTGGATGTTAGTTGGAAAAATTTCTCTTTCAGTCATGAACACATTACTGAGCAGTTAAAATCTCCGTTTCTGGGCTTCAACGTCAGAAAATAGCTGAGTGAACTCGGCGCTGAGTGAGAGGAGTGTAAATTGTCCGAGACAGCGGAGCTGCAGACACCCGGCAGAAGACGCTAGAAAAAACACAAAGGAGGGGGCGCTTCGGCTCCGCGCTGACGCCGCAAAGGATTATGGGAGTTGAAGTCTTTACGGTAAAATCGGCCAGCGGGCCAGTTTTAATATATTTTTGATATTTATCTCGCGAGCCACATAAAAATGCTCCGCGGGCCGGATGCGGCCCACGGGCCTTGACTCTGACATATGTGCTATATAAGGAACCCAGCAGATTGCAACGAGTCACTGACTAGTGTCAAAGTCTTTACAGCAATCCTCATAGCAAGCATGTAGCGACAGTGGAGAGGAACACTTTTTTTTTTTACAGGAAGAAACCTCAAGAAAACCCAGGCTCAATATGAGCAGCCATCTGCCACGACTCACTGGGGATCGAGAAGACTGAGCAGACACACACTGAGCAATTGTTTTTACTTGTTTGAAATATGATCGATCACTCTGAGCAGGTTGAATGTGAAAATAGTCTTCTAACCCCATTTCCTGCTTTAGCCGCCGATAGAAAATAAACGAGAAAACTTCAATTGTGTGTCACATTGTCAAATTAGCATTCATGGACTCACCCATCTTTACTCGTGACGGGGAAGGCTGTTGTTTGTTTAGCATCCAGGAGACAGCAGAGCACATCTCAGATAGTAAAAGCTAACCATTAGCATTAGCAACTCCACCACACAGCAGAAGTCCTTCAGGCTCGTGTTATTGGTGGAGATAAAACAGCAACGTTGTGAAGCAAACAGAGTCAGTGGTAGAGTCGTGTTGCTGTTAGCCAATCAGAGACGAGATGTCAGAACATCAGGAAATGAGACTCCAAATCCTGCCATCTTCTGCTTCTAACTCCTCTGGCTGGCTTCTAGTTTCTGAAACAGGGGCACCAAAGCTTTATTCTCCCAGAGATCAACTCACAAGTCATGTATTTATACTAGAGACCACTGCTAATGTGTAGAAAAAACAAGTGAAGTTAGTTTTTAATACAGGAGATTAGGGAAGTGTCAGCCTACATGTCTTCTGGGATTAATTACAGGGTTCTGGATTGTTTATAATGCACTGGAGCAGGGCCACTAGCTCTGGTCCTTGAGGGCTACCATACTGCACATGTTGGCTGTTTCTTTGCTCCTACACACCTGATGGTATTGAATGAGTAATTAACAGGTCTGTGCAGAGTTAAGGAGAAGATTAAATCACTCCATTCAGGAGTGGTAGAGCAGGAAACACAGAAAACTAGCAGGACGGCAGCCCTCCAGGACTGGAGCTGGTGACACCTGCACCAGAGGAATCAAACAGGGTCTCACAGTTCTGCCTGCTTTGCATCAATAAGCAAACTGTACAGAGTCTTAAATGGTGTTTTTTTTCTCAGTCAGGTGGGGCAACAAGTGTCTCTCCAGTACCTTTGTGATGTGGGGGGTTAGGGGGAGAGCACTGAGATGTTTTAGGTACTGGAACAAGGCAGGGTGTCTTCAGCAGCACACGGACCTTCTCCAGGCTGAGGTTTAAAGGGTGCTGCAAGTTTTATTTACCTCTTTGTAGACTTACAGTGAGAAACTGGTTAATGTTATGAGTAGGCATGAAATTAAAAAGTTCAAAGCGAGATCAACTTCTCCAAAAAAAATAAATCAATAGAGAGTAAAAGTAGGAAAACGTGTGTGTTTCTGAACACTAAATAATACACATTTACAGAAATATATGCTAAAAAGTAGTTGGATGGAATATTGATCGACTGAGTGAATCAGAATTTTTACCTTGCTCACTCTAGCATGTCTACAGCTTCTGACCTGCTTTCTCAACTACTAATTTTATTTTTTGATCTTTATCTTTGTCTCTAAAGACAAGGGCTTGATGATAACAAAATCAAATTTATATTACAAATGCAGGACATGTAGAGACAGGAGTTTTAGCATGGTGTCCAGCATTGTGATGATCGTCTCTCTGCCCATCATCAGGAGGCTTACTCTGTGGCGAGACAGTTTAACTTGATCCCCCCGGTGTGTGAGCAGGCAGAGTATCACCTCTTCCAAAGGGAGAAGGTCGAGGTGCAACTGCCTGAACTTTACCACAAGATAGGTAAGCACTTCTGCTAATGTGGACGCTTTGTAGCAGGTCAGTCCATCACAGACTGGAGGAAGTCTCATACACTTGTTCACTAACACAGGATGTTTGGCATTTTTTGAGTGTTAGTCACTCTACAATGAACTCGCTGAGCTAATTCTATACATTTCCCCCGTTGTCCGACTCTTTTCTTGTCCTTGTTTTTACACCTTGTTGTCACTTTCATTAAAACAAATTGTGCTTAACTTCTCTCGGTTTCCATGGTGACAGGAGTCGGAGCAATGACTTGGTCACCGCTAGCGTGTGGCATCATCACAGGGAAATATGAAAACGGCATCCCTGAAGCTTCAAGGGCCTCCATGAAGGTGAGTGGCAGCCATCTTGAATCCCTTTAATCAGTTATAATTGAGCACAGGCTTCCAGCTGCGTTTTCTGACACATTAGTTTTTATTTTTTTAATGAAAGAAATAAAGGGGCTATGAGGCATTTTTCTCATCACCATGTTTACCTAGAAATACACGTAACCCTCTGATTGGAGTCTTGTAGTCTGCAATCAAGAGCTGCAGCTTCTCAACCATTTCAAACCTGCTCAGTATCTAACTGCTTAGGGTTGTTAAAGTCCCTACGTAAGCAGTTCTTATAAAATTTGCATTCCTTGTCTGTGTAGTAGAGAAATGTCTTCATTTTCTATATTCAGTTCAATGGTCAGGAAGATTGTGAAGTTTAGCTAATTTCTAGGCTTTATCACATCTCTTGAAAAGAGCTATTATTTCTCGGGAGATCTAATGACTGTCCTTTTAACCTTTGCACTGACTCAGGAGGCACATGTCAGAATCCGAATCAGAAGGTTTTATTGCCATATTTGTGAGAATCACAACATTAGGAAATTGCTGCGGTACTTGGTGCAAAAAAGGAAGACAAAAATAAGAGAAAAGAAAAATAATCATGATAAAAAACTGCAATACTCAGGGAAATGGCTACTATATACAAAACAGTGTAGGTACTGATCAGAACAGGGGTCTCATTTATCAAACATTGTGTAGAATCTGTACTAAAACCGTACTTAAGCTCAGCAAAAAAAAATTTACTTACGCCAAGTAAGTTTGTGATCTATCAAACATGGAGTACGCACAGCTGCACGCAATCTCCGCTTCATAAATCAGAAACTATCTAGAAAAGTTCTCAGCTGCTTTTTAGTCACAGCCCGCCCTCACCACGCCCACTTACTGCCATAAATAGTCAATGCAAAGTGTCCTGTGGATCTCATGCATATACATAAGCCGGCTTTTGCAGCATTTCGGTCACAACCGCAGATCAAGGAAGCGCTATTTCACAGAAGCAGGAATTCAGGTACTTGAGGGTGAGGTGGAGAAATGAAAGGAAGAACTTTTGCAAAACAAATAAGAGAAAATCCACGGAGTGGCACAGCGTTGCTGAAGCCGTCATTGTTTTGAGTTCTTCAGAGAGATCTGTGGCGGATATAAAAAAATGGTCCAATCAGGATTCAATCCCCAGACTTCCAGGTGAAAGTCTCACGCACGCTAACCAGTCACCCAAACAGAGATCTCCCTTGTCCAAGTAACCAGGGCGTATGATCAATCGGGTCACAGTGACAGGACGCACACACTGTCACAGACGCATGACATTCTGTCTCAATCTGTCCCCCTGCTGATAATCTGCATTCTATATTCTGCGCTTCAGGCTGTGTGTGTGTGTGTGTGTGTGTGTGTGTGTGTTGCATGCGCGCGTGTGAGTGTGCGCGCGCATGCATGTGTGTGCGTTTGGGGGGTCTTGTTCTGTGTGAAAAGGAAGCAGTACAATTGATAATGCTGCAGGATTTCATAATGTTATCCTTCTCAGCAGCAGCACTGCAGGTGCTCTCCATGTCCCACATGTGCGTAAGCCAGGTCCTTAGTCAACTTAAAGTTGCGCACATTTTTCGGCTACGTTTTCTTACATAAATCCCAAAATTTGTGAGGAAAGTTGCTTACGCAGTTTTATGACCCCGTTTTGTGCGTAAGCATGCTTGATAAATGAGGCCCCAGGTCATGTGACTAGAACCAAGCGACTGGAGTGGGCAGCCCTACGATTTTCGTTCATGAGTCCAAGAGCAGAAGGGAAGAATCTGTTCTTGTGGCGAGAGATTCTGGTCCGAATGGATCTGAGCCTCTTGCCAGATGGGAGTGAGTCAAAAAGACAGTGTACAGGGTGACACGGGTCAGCTGTGATCTGACCTGCACGCCTCAATGACCGGGAGGTCCTGTATGGAGGGGAGTTTGCAGCCAACGACCTTCTCAGCAGAGTGTACAACACACTGCAGCTTCTTCTTGTCCCTGATGGAAGCTCCAGCATACCACACGGTGATTGAGGAGGTGAGGATGGACTCGATGACAGCGGTGTAAAACTGTCTCATTGACTGTGCTGGCAGGTTGAATCTCTTCAGCTGCCTCAGGAAGTACATTCTTTGCTGGGCCTTTAAGATGGTGGGCTCCCACTTGATGTCTTGGGTGATGGTGGTGCCCAGGAAGCGACATGAGTCCACCATTGTCATGGGAATGTCAGACAGGGTTAAGGGGGGAGGGGGGCTGTGTTCTTCCTAAAGTCCAGAACAACCTCCGCAGTCTTCTGGGGGTTTAACACTAGGCAGCAAGTCGACCGCCATTCTGTAGGCAGACTCATCCCTGTCAGAGATGAGTCCAATGACAGTGGTGTCATCTGTAAACTTGATAAGCTTGACAGACTCGTGGTTGGAGGTGCAGCTGTTGGCTTACAGGAAGAAGAGCAGAGGGGACAGAACACAGCCCTGAGGGGAACCGTGCTGAGGTTTGTCAAGAACCTGCAGAAACTCAGAGCGAAAACATTGCCAAGCATCATCAACATCCGGTATCAAGGACGAGCTAAAAAGAAATTTTAGTGAAGATGGCTTCAAGGTGCAATGGTTTGACTGAGGCCTAGTCCACATGTAGCCGGGTTTTTTAAAAAACGAATATCCGCCCCTCCAAAAACTTGCATCCACACCACCTCGTTTTAAAAAAAACTCTGTCCACACGTACCCGGATAAATAAGTAGTTAAGGACATGCCAGACCTGTAGGCGGCAGTACTTCCCCCGTTCTTAACCTCGTCCTTCGTCTGTGGTCTTCCGCAAGGAGCAGTAATTCCGCTTGCAAAAACAAACAAGCAAAAAGCGCTTGGACAATTGATAAAGCGAGCGCAGCTCTGAGGGCATCCATGCTGTCGGCTAGTGTAAACACAGGTCGCACACGTGATGTCAGCATTTTTTTGTCGCGGAAAGTGACGTTGCGGACCTTAAAACTCCGGTTGTGTCTGTCCACACGCAGACACCCAAAATGGAGAAAATGCAGATCTTCACTTTGGCCGGAGTTTTTAAAAAGATCCGTTTTCATGTGAAAAAACTCCGTTTTCAAGATGACAGGCCAAAACGTAGAAAAATATCTACGTTTTGGCAGATCCCCGGCTACGTGTGGACAGGGCCTGAAGGAACGATGACCTGAGATGTGAGACTAGATGAGACATCAGTGTGTAGGGTTATACTACTTACAGAGGTGGAAAGAGTACTAAAATGTTGTACTTAAGTACAAGTATAATTACTTTCATGAAATTTTACTCAATTACAAGTAAAATTACCTGCCTCAAAATGTACTCAAGCAAAAGTAAAAAGTAGCTTATTTCAAATGTAGTCAGAGTAAAAGTTACTTAGTTACTTTTTTGACTGTGCAAGGACGGGCTCTTCTGAATAGTTAAAAAAAAGACAATGGGGGTATGAATGTCAAAGTGGCCATTTTTTTAATTAAATGAACAAATATGCATATTGAAGTACAAAGGCAGTTACACTGCAAACTAGTAACATAAATTAGGTTATAGTCACAAGCCCATGACTTTTCCCTGAATGCTTGTTTAGAGCAGCTGATTTTTAAAGTTAGCAGAGTTCATCTTTGGTAGTGGGTTCACTCACTCATTTAAAGATATCGGCCAGAGGCTAAATTTGTTTGAACAGCATGTGTAAATGTGTATTAAAATCTCAGATGAAAAAGGTTTTTGGATTTTGACGGCTGGAATTGTAAGAAAATCTGATGTTTGTGACCGGCGCAGGAAAAACAGAAACTAACTTCCGGTCTAAGCCCTGGGCAGCAGTTGACGTTTCACATGGAGCTCTGCTGAAACAGCTGTAGTAAACAACGCCTGACTCTGGTGTTTCTGCGTTAGCGTTATAGCAGAGAACAATGTGTCATCAATCAGATGTAGCTTCTGAAGCCTCTGCTAGTCCATCAGATTTGTTTTTTCTCTGGGATACGGCGACGAGAACGGATGTTAGATTACTGGAGAAGTTCAACCGAACTCCAACCCCGCCAGCTGGATATCACTACCAGAGGTGCAGACATGTTTTAGACCGTTTGACTCAGAAGACCTGTGACCTGATTTGGACATAGAGGAGGTTTCTGTTCATCTTCAGAACCAAATTCGGTACAGTTTGTTTACTTTTCTTAAATATTTCATTTCTGTGCTCCACTGGGAGCTCTAAGCTGACAAGTTTTCAGCTGGTTTTAGCTCCATCATGTGTCCCAATATAGTTCAGTAATCTACAGTTTTACTGCTGTGTGTATTTATTGACATAACTCTGGAAATATTTAACCGACAATTTACCAGAATAAATCTTCCTGATGCTGGAGTAACTCCTTAGCTCAACTCGTTGTTTGCACTAATCCAGGATGACATGGAGGTTTTAATGTTGAAATATAGAGATCATCTTTTAGATTATATCTGTGTGTGTGTGTGTGTGTGTGTGTGTGTGTGTGTGCGTGCGTGCGTGCGTGAGTGTGTGCGTGCGTGCGTGCGTGTGTGTGTGTGTGTGTGTGTGTGTGTGTGTGTGTGTGTGTGTGTGTGTGTGTCGTAGCTTTCCCAAAGGACTTGTTCTTTCCTTACCGGAGCGAACACGGTTAGTTTTGCTGCAGTCATGCTAACGGGACTCGTCTGGAGTCCAGAAGTAGCGGTGCGGTTCTAGATGGATTTATAGATGTAGGTTATTATTTTAGATCAGACCTGTTATTTAAAAATGCATGTAGGACACAGACACATGGCTCACATCTTTTGCTGCAGCTGTAAACGCAATTTTACGTAATAATTAGGAGCATGAACGTAAACAAATAACAGTGATTCACAATATTAGCATCAGCAGCTAGCTTGTTTTACGTGCTGGAGTGACGTATGCGAAACACAGTTCTTCACTGTCTGGAGGAGAGGATTTGGATTTTCTGTAATCATTTATGACAAAAGTCCTTAATAAAATAAAAAACTGGACCCAGTACATGTTTATATAGATAATAAAGTGTAGTTATTTTGCATTTCTACAATTTGAATGCCGAGCCAATACCTTTAACCCTTCACCACTGAAACCAGTTTGTTCATCCAAATCCTCCTAAATAATCCTCCAATCATCCAACTGGAATCCTTAAGGGTCCCGTAAAGTACATCCTGTCAGAACAGGCCTTGGGAGCCCAGGTGTTACTAGAACTAATGGTGTCTCCTCACCAGCGTGAGCCTCCAAACTGTGAAGGTTGGTCTCCAAACATGAACTTCAAATTCATGCATTTATCTCCTCTTGTAACACTTTAACATGTTTTAAAAGGCTTGTATCATGATAAGTTACACCTCCCAGACCAAAGATAGGTACAATATAAGATAAAACATTATCATAAACACTGCAGAGACATCATTGTTTATTAAATACAAGTTATTTTCCTGAGCCATTACTTCAGCCAAGATATAAGATGCATGGATTTGATGAAGCCATGCTGTCTTATGCAGTCACACACACACACACACACACACACACACACACACACACACACACACACACACACACGCACGCACGCACGCACGCACGCACGCACACACACACACACACACACACTGCAGCATGTTAGAATAATTTGAATGACTAATTTAACTACACTGAACTGCTTTAGTAATAATTTAATCTCTTATTCTGGAGTAAAATAAAGAAACAAGCTAAATCATCACATATCTGTGGCATCAAGAAGCATCTTCTGAGTTCAAACACAGGGATGGAGCACAATGTTTACACCTGAACAGTATCAGGATTAACTCACAGAGGCCTGCAGGTCTTCTGTTTTATGAGCAGAGCGCTGAGAATCCGCTTCTTGGGAGCGCTAAACGTTATTTTGCCGCTTCCGTGCGGAGCGGTAAGGAAACACATTTCAAACACGGAACCGAGTCTGGTTGCTGAACCGAGCAGAATTCTGATGACGTCACACCGGTGCGCGAAGGTGCGGGTTCCAACCCACAGGAGAGGAGGGAGAGAGGAGGTAAACAGCGAGTGAATCACAGAACTTTTGTTTTTGAGCAAAACTGCAGTAAAAATGCCTGTTTGTCCTCATCATAAAGCGTGTAGCCCCCCCGGTTTAGACGTGGTGCTCATGCAGGTGTCTCTTTCTGTTCCGACGCTGCTACACGTAATATTTTTAATTTATTAAGCCGACAATTTATTTTTACTCAGTAACGGATATGATTTAAAATGTAGCGAATTACAATTCTTTTTTAAAAACTTACTCAAGTAAAAGTAAAAGTACAGATTTTAAAAACGACTTAAAAAGTATAAATTTACAAAAAAGCTACTCAATTACAGTAACGTGAGTAAATGTAATTCGTTACTTTCCACCTCTGACTACATACTAGAATCAACACTGTTGCTATTCAGTTGTTAGATTCTGAGAGAAGATCCAAACGAGTTAACAGTGAAGCTTGTATTATATATATAAATATCTAGGATATTATATATAGAGATATAAGCTCATATGCCAACGAGCTTGGTCTAATTTTAATCCAAAGATTAACGTTTAATTTAAGATAATTAAATTTAATAGCAAAAGTTTATTTTTGAATCAGAAGTTAGGAATCTTTGCTCTTTTAATAACCAGATATAATTATACCTTTCTGTGTTCCATTTCAAAGAATGAGCCAAGTTTAAAAATGAAGGATTTATTACTAACAACTTTAAACTTGACGATTTGAATGACAATTAGAAATGACAATTCATGGATGACAATTTAATGACAATTTTTAATAGCTTTGATATTAAACTTGTTTTAAAAGGCAAACCTGCGGCTGGATGAAAGCTAAATGGAAAATACGAGTTTGGATGCGTGGATGAATTCTCAGAAGGTTTCTTTCAGAGGGAGGAACGTGTTCTGGGTTGGAAATGATGGTTTTGCAGCTAACTGTTGTTTACTTAGAGAAAACAGCATCAGACACAATCTGTGTGCTACCTCACCCAGCAAGGACGACCCTTCGTGAGGATATGGAGGTCAAGGGAGGATGGTTTCTTCCTCCAGGTTCTCGGTCCTTTAGAGGAGACGCGAGGAACCGACTCTCTGGTCCGAAGATGTCGCCGGGTACACAGTGTCGAGCGTCTGGCTTACTCTGAAGGAGTTTCGTCTTACTTAACTCAAAAATCAATAACTCTGAGGAGTTTTGCGTCAGCTGGTTACAGTTTACGTTTATTCGTAGCTATTCTTATCGGCGTGACAGAACAGCAGTTGGAGGTTACGGGACGGCAGTTCCCGAATCCTCAGTGATGGTGGTTGGTTCACGAACTGAAGTGAAAGCTGCTGGAAGTTAGTTTAACAAAGTCCTCAGAACACGCCCTCTCAGAGCAAGAAAGCTTTGGTCATGAGTCAAAAAAAAACATGTGATGGCAGTTACCCTTTACTCTGGATAGACTCTGTGTTAGATGGATAAGTGGAAGTTGACCTTCTGGTTACTGAACACACATTATCAACCATAATCATAGTAATCATTATTATACCCAAAGCATAATAATTCATTTCGGTAAATAAAAATACATTTATACTGAACCAAGTGATTATTTATGATGATTATAATAAACAGTAATAAAGTCAAAGAGTTTATTAATATTATTATTTCATTATTATCGTGAACTTGAAGTGTCCTTCTTCTGGGACGGAACAGCAGCAGATAAAGGATGATTCTTTAGACATCAGGGCTCCTAGGTTAATCTGTGGAACTAAAAGTTACAGTCTGACCCAGCTTGACCCAGCTGGGAAAGTGTGACCTTTGCCAAAAATTAGAGGCCCTTCATCACGCTACAAGTGGCAACCCCACCTCGCCTAGCCTCTCTATCCACACGAGATAAAATAGATGTTTTCATTTAACCAAGTCTCTGACAGTGTAATTTTTTTTTGCTTTATTAGATACAAACCATGCTTTCAACAAGTCAATCTCGGGAAAAAAAACTTTTAACGGTAAACATAACAGTAAAAACTACACATTGTCTCTTTAACATCAAGATTGTTTAACCTTTAAACAATTTAACCTTTAAACAAGTTTAACCTGATGTAGCCTGTCTGAAGGGGGTCATCCTTGTGAAGAGACATTTTCCTTGTAGGTCCAGTAGATGTAAAAAATGTAAAACCTAGCCCTTTTCCTTGACTTGTTTTTCTGTTGTAATCAGAAATTTCTCTCTGTACCCGTTTTTTTTTCAAACCCAGTTTTTGTCTGTCATGATGTCTTACTGCTCCACCAATCACCCATTGTTTCCCCTCTCCCCTCAGTCCTATCAGTGGTTGAAAGAGAAAATAGTGAGTGAAGATGGAAGGAAGCAGCAGGCAAAGCTGAAGGAGTTGAACCACATCGCAGAGAAGCTGGGTTGCACGCTGCCCCAGCTGGCTGTGGGTAAGACTGTTGTTTTATGTGCAAACACTTAAGATCAGACAGCAGACGGGCAGAAAAGACTAACATTTTATCTACTCGTTCGTTTGAATAGCATTGTAATATAAGACAACACATATCTGATTTAAAAGACGCTTCATCATGTTGGAGGATTTAATGAAAATTTTAGTTTTACTTGTCTAAAAAAAATCAGTTTGTCATCAAGTTGACATTTAATTTCATATTTTTCTCTTTGTCGTTGTTTTCAGCGTGGTGTCTGAGAAATGAAGGAGTGAGCTCCGTCCTTCTGGGAACATCCAACCCTGATCAGCTCACTGAGAACCTCGGGGCCATACAGGTGAGGATGCACACACACACACACACACACACACACACACACACACACACACACACACACACACACACACACACACACACACACACACACACACACACACACACACACACACACACACACACACACACACACACGTGCGTGAACATACACACATACACATGCATGCACACACCAAGGTTTTTATTTTGCCATCTGTGGAGTTGATTTTGACTCAAATGTGTGTTAATAGTTGTTGATCTTGTTTATTTTGTTGAATTTTTAACATTATTTTTTGTAATTTTACTCTTTCATGCACAGTGATCTGCTACAGTGGACAGCTGCTTTGTTTGTATGTGTAAATCGATGGTGTAAATGCAGATATTGATAGTATTCTTGCACACAAGCAACCACATTGGACACCAGTTTGTATTGAGCGACACATTAATAATAATAATAATAATAATAATAATAATAATATAGAGATGCACCATTATTGATACCAGTGATGTAGTTAACATCTCAGCTGGCAGAGAAGGAGCGGTGAGGAGCTTGATGATGTCTGAGCTCTAACTGGTTGCCTTCATCACCTCCAGCTCCAGAGTGGACAGAGCACAAAATGGCCTGCTGTCTTCAACACCACACTCAGTTATGCAAGTCATGAAAAGCAAGCCGGTTGTTCATGTAGATGCCAACATGCCACTTGTTGTTTCCTCTCTCTGCATAACGGAACAGGAAGAAGAGAGGCGCCATCTAGTGGTGCCTCCTAATCAAACCTATTTATTCCCTGCCTTCAGCTGAAACCAGTTTTTCTCTCCCTCGCCCAGATCCTTCCAAAGATGACCTCTCATGTGGTGTCAGACATCGACCACATCCTGGGTAACAGGCCCTGCACTAAGAAGGACTACCGCTCCTAGACCACGCCGACTCGGACACCAGCTACCTGCCTACACTTCGACCCTTGACCCTCTGATCAGAGGGTCGCGTATCCATGGCTCTCCTCCTCCTCTGAGCCTGTTCAGCTTCAGACCTCTTCAGCCTGAAACAGACAGCAGCATTGCACACCGTAACCAAGCCCATTTGAGGCTTCTGCTTCGATCAGATTCATCTCAGGGGCAGTCATGCTCAGCCAAGAAAAGCTTAGACCTTCCTCAGCCTCAAACGCAACTTAGTAGATTAGAGCTTTCCACCCCTGACCCGAGGTGTCTGCGTTTAGGCAACAGCACATCAGAGATCTATCTATGCAGAGCTTAGAGCAGCACGCGCTAAAGCTTCACCATAACAAACATCACATCCATGGGGTGGATTTCTGTATTTAAATCACCTTTAGATTTCAGTCCAGGCACACAGGTACAGCTGGGTTTTAGAGATGTTTGTCATTGGGTTGGCTCATAAAGACAGAGAAGCAATGCACAACTTCAAATGAAAGTGCCTTGTTCAAAAGCACCTTGGTTATCCACCGGTCCTCCTTGTACAGACCAGTCTAGTTCCATATCTGCAATCTGAGGACAACAATTCATACTGGACACGTTTATTTATGAGATTCCTGAATGCATCAACGCAAGCACGTTAGACCTAGAGATCAGATCTCATGCAGGAGGGTGAGCCGAGGCTTCAGCTGCATGCTGAGCACAAACCACTGATTTCATTACTATGCTCTGCAGCGTGGCAAAATAAATTACCATAAACTTTCACCTCCTTTGTTCGAGGTGCGAGTCATGGGATAAAACTTTATCCTGTGGAACGTGGACTTTATTGACAGCAAGGTGACCCGCTCAGACAGAGCTTCATGAATACGAACGAGACCTAAAATAATCTAACAGCTTGAAAAAATGTAACCCATTCCATAGTTGTCACAGAAATGTGCAAAACATAGATTTAGCCGCAGGTTGTGAGAACACAACAAGCATGAGTCCCTGCTACGGTGTGCCTCTTTCTTCTTCTAAGTCTGACAATGACTGCAAGCTTGCCGGACCTGTGACCCTGGTGAAGCAGAGGATTGTGGGACGTGGGGGGAGAAGAAGTGGGGTTTGTTGCCCTTGTGTGGTGGTTTAATGAAAGTACAACTCTGCTTCACAAAATCAGAGAAAGAACAAACGCTGCCTTGCAAAAAAAAAAAAAAAAAAAAAAAAAAAAAGATAGTGAGCACCATAGTGAAGCTGTTTGTGCTTGTGAACTGAAACAGCATCGCCGAGATAATAGATACCTGAACGGAAGGGTGAACTGGTCTAATTGTGGTTTGAAATGGCACAATGTGACAAAAATCATAGTATTTATTCTAAAGTAGACATAGAATCAGATATTTATTTTGGCTTTTTAAAATATTTGCCTGTTTGAAGGTGTATAAGACTTTAGGCCGTGTATCTTTGTAAAATAAAGAAGCCTCTGTTGCACAAGGCGTTACTGTATGGTGAATATAATAGATGTAATCAGATGTAAATAAGGTTATTTTATTGTTTGCTGGCAGAACCACTGCATACGTTGCAGTTTGTGACCATTTCATCCCATCCTCCTTCCTCGGACTGGCTTCATAACCTCCAAGTGTTCTATTTTTTTTGGTTCAGGTTGTATTCTCCGTTGTAAACAATACAATGTCCATAAGTATTCATAATATAAAGGAAAAAGCATCAAGCTTAAATGTTGCTCATTTACTCTGATGAGTTTTATGGTTGTTGCCTTCATGAATTCTGGTTTTTATTTTATTTATTTATTTTTTTTTTTCATCTGGGGAAAAATAAGCCATCGCTGGGATCAGCAGAGATATGATTCTTGGTGCACATTTGTTGACTTGCACCCACAAAAATTTCTGCAGCATCCTCACTTTCAGAAGTCTAAACCCAGATTATGATCCGATTTAAAGACCAAGTTCACAGAGATGATTTAGCATCCAGGAGACAGCAGAACACGTCACAGCTAGTAGAAGCTAACTGTTAGCATTAGCAACTCCACAACATGACAGAACTCCTCCAGACTTGTGTTATTTGTGGAAGTAAAACATTAACATAGCAGAGCAAACCGAGTCAGTGGTAGAGTTGTGTTGCTGATAGCCAATCAGAGGTGAGGTGTCAGAATATCAGGAAATAATGCATTTGATTTACCTTGGAAGTCGAATTGGGAATGATGTCACTTCCAAGCTAACCGCGTTCTGGTTACTGTAGTCAGAAAAGTCGGGATTCCAATATGGAGACACCCTTGAAAACTGCTGTATTGTTAGTTCTTAACAGACTAATAAACACATAAAACTCATCTTAATAAAATATTAGGAGAGAGAAGCTTTTAGTTGCAAGCGCTACATATAACATTGATTTTAAATGCACTCATAAGTGTGTCTTGTAAAATTAACTTATTTCAAACAAAACTGGACATTTGGGACGTCGAGGTTGGAGTTCTGAAATTCTTCCGAGTTTCCAACTGGGAGGTCCGTCTTTGGGGGCATTTCATTTGATTTTTCCTACTTGGAAGTCTGGATTTCGAGTTCTGAGGACAACACGAAAGCACCATGACTCCAAATCCTGTCGTCCTCTACTTCCTGAAACAGAAGCTTTGTTCCCACAGAGATCGACTCACAAAACATTCATGTATACACCTATTTATACCACTAAAATGTATTTATAAAATGACTGAACTTGGTCTTTAAACTTGCACACAACAGTAATTGGCAGAATCCCTGAACATTTAGTTCATAATAAAGATTTTTTAATACACACGTGCAAGTCAACATGGTGTCCCTTGGTTAGAGTCGGTGTTGCTGCCTGGTAGAGTGCCTTGACTTGAGTCCTGCTAAAGGAAACCCTTCAGGGATGTCTTCATCACAAGTTAGAATAAAAGTAAATAAGTGCAAAGTTAGAAACAGGAGTCAGTCACATATCATACGTATTTCATCTGGATTATTATGACCCAACACACAACCAGAAACGCCGTGTTAGTTTGTTCTGAAGTGACCTTCTGCAAGCCTAAACCCTGTTGGACATCTGGAGCAGGAACCCTTCAGACCTGAGAGATGGAGCAGTGAGGAGCAGACCGAACGGACAGAAATAACTGGATAGCAAAGATGGTCTAGATTATGCGGCAAAATATGAAATTGGGGTACCATCGATAATCTGACCGCAGCGCAGTTAATGTTTGATCTGTTCATCAGTTTCAGGGACTATTGAGGGCTTTTCTGTCTGTAATGATAAGATCCAAAAATGTTGTCCATGTCTGAGATGTTTGAACAAGAAGTTACAAATTAATCTGAAACAGAACATTTTCTTCCAGCTTTGTCCTTTTGTTTGGTAATCTGACCGATGTTAATATATTTTCTCAAAGGTTTACTGTCCCGAAGTACCAATGAAATTGTGAAAATCTCAGATTCAAAAGTGTTTTTGTCAAAAACACCAGAAACTGAAAACTAGATAAAGAAAAGAAAGGTGCTGGGTCAGTTTCATAAAATGACAAGTCATTTTTCGAGTGGCTTTCGAACAAACTCATTGCTTTGACTTATCTGTGCCTGTGAGAATCCCTCTCTTTGGAAAAATAGTTGTTTTAGGTCAAACTTTAGAACTCAATACAAGCCCCCAATAAATATGAAACTATTTAAAACTAATTTCTGAGCAATGCTTTTATTTTGAAGGGAAAGAAGTCAACTTAATTATTAAATGTATAATCCATTTCTACCCAAAGATCCTGTTAGAACTAAATTAACTATTACAGATGAAACATGGAGAGAAAAGACTCAACACTGATTTTTATTTTCCTGTTGATATGAAACCATCAGCATTTGTAAATAATCTATATGAATGTGTGACTTTAAATAAATGCATCCCAGACTTTACAGTCTCTGCTTGTTAATCATGAACTGAAAACACACACACACACACACAGATGAAAAGTTTACCTGGTTGTTTTATTTGTTACAAAAAAAAAAATAAAAACAAAAAGACAAACATGGAGATACGACCTCCAAACATTTGATCATCCAATCCCAGGATTTCTCTCTCAACCCTGTAAAGCCAACTTTTCCCCAACTTCGTGAGCCAATTTCTTCCTGGTTTACTTGGAGCCGGTGGATAGTAGAGCGATGAGTCCCGAGGAGGCACTGATAGACAGGATGTAGTTTCTAGAAGCAAAGCGTTAAGAAAAAGATCTGCAGGACATAACTTTATATTTACTGTGATGCGTTTTAAGTCTTAAAACCACATAAATGTGTCCTAGCCCACAGCTGAAAGGATACACTGCAGGATTGAAGTTCTTGAGCAAGAAGAAGGACGCGATGATGACGAGAACCAGGAAGAGTGTGTTGTTGTAGAAGATGGAGAAGGTGGTGGCCTCGTAGTCGGCCACCTCATTCTTCTTCCACAGGATCCTGAAGATGGGGGGGGGCACCATCAGTACATGCTAACCAGAGCAAATCTGAACTCTTACAGCAACCAGGCTGGATTATGTTACTGTCATTTAAACTAAATAAATCCATGTTTCACCTCTCGTCTTTCTCTTTGCGTGACATCTTGCGGTTGTCAGCTTCAGACAGCTTCCTGGTTACCTCTTTGGAAACGGCATCCTCTCGTTTCTGAGCAACTCTGGATGAGAAAGAATCACAGAAACAGAGTTTATGAACTAAAAACTGATTTATTTAATCTGAAGTCGGCTGACATGACCAACTCCCTTAACTGGCCAGTTAGTTATTGTTTAAAGCATCTGTACTGATTTACTTTACACACAGACACGTTGAGTGGCACGTTTATCATTCTTACTTGTGTTTAAGCACAAACTTGACGTTCTTGTAGGCAAAAGCGACCAGGTAGGTGCTGACCAAAGTCATTACAGCATACAGAACAGCAGATTGGACCAGGTCCATGTGCCAGATCCTCCAAAACAGCCCTGAGACAGAACCACACAGACATTTCAAAATAAAGGTTTATTACACCAATGACTTACTTTAGACAAAACAATGGAGTGCATGTGCACAAAAACCGCACTTGAGTTTTGTAATTTGCATAATTTTGGACTGAAAGATGTTTTGGTGGTGTATTCCACCTTTAACCAGATTGAATGATTTAGTTTACACCGACATTAAACAGAAACGTTTATTAGAAGGGTTTTGATGAGTTAGTTTATGTAAAGTTTTAACAAAGTTCCAAAGACGATATTTTCTGTTTAGCTTATTAATGAGTTATGAGTGTTTTCCCAAACTGAAAAGTCCTAAAGTTAACTGACTGTAGCTAGCTACCCTGATGAGGGTCCACTTAGTATAGCGGTTTGCAGTCAAGACTTTCGTCTGTTTTAATTCTAATCCGCGTCCTTATGCTTCCAACACATCACACCCGAATGTAAATATGTTTTAAGAACAGTTTTGTCACTTCTGAATGAAGCCGTGTTAGCTCAGAGCACTAGCATCAGCAGTTGGTGGTACTCACAGATCGGGATGGCAGACACGATGAGCGCGTTTCCGTAAAACAAAGCGGTGGATTTGGCGGATAAGTTCCTGCTGAAGTCCTGAAGAAGCAGGTCTTCCTCTGACTGCTGCTTGTTGCTGCTTTTCGGTGGCATTTCTGCTGCGCCCGCTGCTCAGCTGGGATACAAAGAGGACTGACACGTCGGAGAATGAGAGGAAGAGGGACGCGTCAGCATAAACCTGGAAGTAAAACGGATTTCTTCGTCGTTTAACATTGGTTGTGGTCAGACTACGAAAGCCCGCCTCCTAGAGGAAACAATTGATATTACACCATCATCGCAGCACTCTACACTGTACACACAGACATATGTGAACACAGCGAAACATTTTTAATGTACTTCTTTATTTTTAATATCTGGTTAAAAGGAAACAAAATTGAAAATATTTAAAGTTAATGACTAAACTTTAAAACAGCAAACGAAATTAGAAGAAACACATATCCAAATGCAATAAAGCATTAGAAACCTTCCAGTAGTACACATGTAACAGCCAAACATAAATACACAGTATTTAACACTGAACATAATATTAGCAGAACATTAAAGAGCAAGTCACCCCTTACAAGAAGCGTACTCCACTCCCACCTCATGTTTGAAAAATGCAACAAATGCTGTTGCCTAGCAGACCGAGAGGACGGAGCCACTAACAAAAACACACACAGGCTCACAATGGCATTGTGACATCATAATGTACCCGTTTACATCATAGTATACCTCTTAGCCAATAGTGGTGGCAGATTTAAATTCAAATACAGTGCAGAGTTTTTACCCGACGACAGCGTAACACTGAGTTTTAGGCAGAATATTTAAATTTTAACTAAGATGAACCGAAGTGCAAAACTATTGACTACGCGTGTCTGCAGCACGATTAGACTCTCATTTACAGAGTTTATCAGCAAAACAATGTTGATTTGGGGGTGACTTGCTCTTTAAATAAATACAGATCTTTAAAAAAACAATGGGTTTTTATTGATCTTGAACAAATAACTAGTAATTTTACATGTGACATGTTTGAATGGAAACTATAAATTTATATTAGTATTTTGTTGGAATAGACACATTTATTATATATTATCTATTAACTTAATTTAAGTTATTAAGAGTATGGGCTCGACACACGGGAGGCGACATCGCCTCTCCTCCATTCATTTTCACTGAGACATGCGCGACAAAGCGATAATCGCTGGTCTCCCTCCTAAGCGAAACGTGAAAAACGTGCGTGTGAAATTTTGCGCTCGTGCGCGTGTCGTGCACAGGCGACCCAGCGACGCAATCCCGGAAAGTTGAAATACCCGTGTTAGATTTTATTTTGAAGGGTTTAGGAACTGCTTAGTGTGTATGTTTTGTTTAGCTTTACTAAAAGCTGCCTGTAGTAACAACTTATGTCCACAAGAGGGCAGAAGAATCTTTAATCTCGAAAGCCAGTTATCGTGGTTCCACCCATAGATATCAGGGAGTGCAGAATTATTAGGCAAGTTGTATTTTTGAGGAATAATTTTATTCTTGAACAACAACCATGCTCTCAATGAATGCAAACAACTCATTAATATCAAAGCTGGATGTTTTTGGAAGTAGTTTTTAGTTTGTTTTTAGTTTTAGCTATTTTAGGGGGATATCTGTGTGTGCAGGTGACTATTACTGTGCATAATTATTAGGCAACTTAAAAAAAACAAATATATACCCATTTCAATTATTTATTTTTACCAGTGAAACCAATATAACATCTCCACATTCACAAATATACATTTCTGACATTCAAAAACAAATCAGCGACCAATTTAGCCACCTTTCTTTGCAAGGACACTCAAAAGCCAGCCACCCATGGATTCTGTCAGTGTTTTGATCTGTTTACCATCAACATTGCGTGCAGCAGCAACCACAGCCTCCCAGACACTGTTCAGAGAGGTGTACTGTTTTCCCTCCTTGTAAATCTCACATTTGATGGTGGACCACAGGTTCTCAATGGGGTTCAGATCAGGTGAACAAGGAGGCCATGTCATTAATTTTTCTTCTTTTATACCATTTCTTGCCAGCCACGTTGTGGAGTACTTGGACGCGTGTGATGGAGCATTGTCCTGCATGAAAATCATGTATTTCTTGAAGGATGCAGACTTCTTCCTGTACCACTGCTTGAAGAAGGTGTCTTCCAGAAACTGGCAGTAGGACTGGGAGTTGAGCTTGACTCCATCCTCAACCCGAAAAGGCCCCACAAGCTCATCTTTGATGATACCAGCCCAAACCAGTACTCCACCTCCACCTTGCTGGCATCTGAGTCAGACTGGAGCTCTCTGCCCTTTACCAATCCAGCCACGGTCCCATCCATCTGGCCCATCAAGACTCACTCTCATTTCATCAGTCCATAAAACCTTAGAAAAATCAGTCTTGAGATATTTCTTGGCCCAGTCTGGACGTTTCAGCTTGTGTGTCTTGTTCAGTGGTGGTTGTCTTTCAGCCTTTCTTACCTTGGCCATGTCTCTGAGTATTGCACACCTTGTGCTTTTGGGCACTCCAGTGATGTTGCAGCTCTGAAATGTGGCCAAATTGGTGGCAAGTGGCATCTTGGCAGCTGCACGCTTGACTTTTCTCAGTTCATGGGCAGTTATTTTGCGCCTTGGTTTGTCCACACGCTTCTTGCGACCCTGTTGACTATTTTGAATGAAACGCTCGATTGTTCGATGATCACGCTTCAGAAGCTTTGCAATTT